CGAAAGGAGCCAGTTGAGGTGGTTTGGGCATCTGGTCAGGATGCCTCCTGGACGCCTCCCCGGGGAGGTGTTTCGGGCATGTCCTGCCGGCAGAAGGCCCCCGGGTCGACCCAGGACACGTTGGAGAGGTTACATCTCCAATCTGGTCCGGGAACGCCTTGGGGTCCTGCCGGAGGAGCTGGTGGACAAGGCCGGGGAGAGGACGGCCTGGAGCTCCCTAGTTGGGATGCTGCCCCCGCGACCCGGACCCGGATAAGCGGAGGAAGACGACGACGACGACGACGACGAAGACGACAAAGCTTTTTTCTATTTTTACAATTTTTATATTTTCTGTTTTTGTGAAGCGCCTCGTGATTTTTATCTTGAGAGGCGCTATGGAAATGATATTTTCTTCTTCTTCTTCTTACTAACTGTAAACGGAAACATCGCAAAAAAAATCAATAAAACTTGGGATCTTGTAGGCGTGGTGGTGGGATTTCAGCCGTGGTGGCCCGCCACGGCTACGCCTATGTAAGGGAAACACTGGGATGCCAGCCTAACTGTAATGGGCAATGAGTTCCAGAGCATGGGGGCAGCATGGACAAACACACGTTCACCTCATGATTTGTAGGCCATCCGGGGAGTGCAAAGCAGTAGACGGTCAGCTGACCTCAGCATACAAGTAGGTACATCGGGAGTCAGCAGGTCGGACAGATAAAGAGGAGCTAGGTCGTGTAGAGCTTTAAAAACAAACATCAATATCTTAAAACGCACACGAAATGTGATTGGGAGCCAGTGAAGACATTTCAGGACTGGTGTAATATGGCTATGTTGACTTATGTTTGTTAAACACCTAGCAACAGCATTTTTTGGACAACCTGCAACCGGTTCAGAGCAGAGACAGGAGTTTGTGACATTTCAAGATTTCAGGCCAGACAATGACATAGCAGAAAAGTTGGAAGAACTGACCGTAGAGCTCCTGATTAGCCAGGAAGATGGAGAATGCAAGTGCGGGAAGTAAAAGACAAGCTACAGAAGGAACGTGAGGAGCTTAAAGAACAAATCGAGCAACTAAGTGCTGATAATAAGATGTCAGGCTCCAAAGATTCATTATCAAAGACATATTCTGATTGTACATCTCCCAGAGTGAGAAAAATGAGCAAATCATCAATGCCCATCACACCTGGGAAAATTTCTCCCAAAGATCAAGCTAACAAATGGAAAGACTATGAATTATTGATTCCAGATCTTGGATTCACTGATGTGGTCAGAGAAGATGCTCCATGCTCGTCAGGCTCAGATGACAAACTGAGCTTATTTAAAAAGGGAATGACTTCTACATTTGAACGTGAAAATAAGTTTTCTGAAGAAATTAGTGAAGAACCACAATCAGGCTCTGAGAATGAACGTGCAAAAGGTTGTTCTCAAGAACTAAGTGAAGAGCTGAGGTCAGACTTTGATTATGAACTTACAGAAAATATTTCTGAACAAACAAGTGAAGATGCTGATAGAAAAGATGAGTCATCGATTACAGGATCTGATTATGAATATTCAGATAGTTTAATTGATGATGAAACTAGTGAGGAACCATGGTCACCTGAACCTGTAAAACGTGTTTCAAAAAATTTATTGAAGAATCGCAGTCAGGCTCTGACGGAGAATCCAAGAAAAGGTTTTCCGAGTATGAACTAAGTGACGAACCAATGCAGGAAGTTGGCAGTTGTTCTAATGATGTCGTGAGTAAAAAAAACATGCTCACCACCACCTCTCAAGCTCCAACTGGGAAAGACTACTCTGCGTCCAGTCAAAGCGAGACCTATTGAGCACGGGTCAAATGTCACCAAGTGCTTCCCCCTCTTTCTGGGAAATCTATCCTTCCTCCACTTTCTACAAAACCTACATCTCCTCTTTCTAGGACATCCACGTTACCTCCTCTGTCTGAGAGATCCATGCCTTCCCATTTTAGACAACTCACGTCTCCTCCACTGTCTGGGGAAACCACACCTTCCCATTCTAGAAGGCCCACGTCTCCTTCCCTGTTTGAGACACCCATGCCTCCCCATTCTAAAAAATCTACACGTCCTTCTCTTGATAGACTTCCCAAGCCTGTATTATACAAAACCAAAACCTGCCATTTAGATGGCCTAAGTAATGCAGAAAAAGTATATATCATGTTAGATTAGATTAGATTAGAATGTCTCAGATAGTAGAAGCTAACCATTAGCATTATCAACTCCACCACACAGCAAAAGATCCTCCAGGCTTGTGTTACTTGGAGATAAAAGTCAGTGGTAGAGTTGTGTTGCTGTTATCAGTCAGAGGGGAGATGTCGAAATATAAGAAATAGATTAGTTTAGATTAGATCAGATCAGATCCTGTTTTATGTGATAGAATAGAATAGAATAGAATAGAATAGAATAGAATAGAATATTCTTAGGCCATCTGCTGTCACGGTTTGCCTCCACCTACTGGTGGATTTTCTCTGTTTTGTGTTGCAAGTAGGCGCGGCAGACGGCACACCTGTTTGGAGTTTTACTAATTGAGGGACAGAGGATTTAAGGAGCGGTGTGACTCAACTCTAGTGCCGGTTGATACTCTCACATGGTATCCTGTTCCTGCATCACCTACCTTGCCTGGAGTTGTTCCCACATCTCGCCGCTTAAAGATCCTCTGGACTGCTCTCGCCACGTCTGCCCGCCTGCCTCACGCTCTGAACTCCTCATCTGGTCCGACCTTCCTCAGTTCGCCTCCGCTCTGGTTCCGATTCCTGACCGTAAGAACTCTCTCAGTCACAGACTCTTATCTCCTGGTTCTCTGGTTCTGGTCTCGCTCACCTTCTGCTTATATCCCCGTAGATTCCGGTCTCCTCCTGATCCTGATCTGAAGCAGCGCCTTTAGTTAGTTTTGCCTCATCTGTTATTTTTCTCATTGTAAATAAACCATTTTACTTTTTACTCACCATCCCTCTCATGTGATTCTTCATGTCCTGGGTGAAGGCTCTTACCCACAGCATGACATCTGCCCCTCAATGACATGTTATCCAGGGGTTACTAAGTGCATTATTGAGCATGAATAAACAAAGACTTTATTACCATACCATACCAACTTTATTTCTATAGCACAATTTAAGACACAGCGTGAGAGCTGACCAAAGTGCTGAACAGGCAGGATCAATTAAAACAAAAGTAAAAACAATAAGATAAAACACAACAATAAAAACTAAAAAATCATAATACGATAACATTGAGTCACTGTCTAAAAGCCAAGTCATAAAAGTAGGTTTTTTAATTAGATTTTAAAACAGACAGAGGATGACAGCCTAACTGTAAACGGAAACGTTGCAATAAATAAATAAATAAATCAATAAAACTTGGGATCTTGTAGGCGTGGTGGTGGGATTTCAGCCGTGGTGGCCCGCCACGGCTACGCCTATGTAAGGGAAATACTGGGATGCCAGCCTAACTGTAATGGGCAATGAGTTCCAGAGCATGGGGGCAGCATGGACAAACACACGTTCACCTCGTGATTTGTAGGCCATCCGGGGAGTGCAAAGCAGTAGACGGTCCGCTGACCTCAGCATACAAGTAGTTACATCGGGAGTCAGCAGGTCGGACAGATAAGGAGCTAGGTCATGTAGGGCTTTAAAAACAAACAATATCTTAAAACGCACACGAAATGTAATGGGGAGCCAGTGAAGACATTTCAGGACTGGTGTAATATGGCTATGTCGACTTGTGTTGTTTAAAAACATAGCAGCAGCATTTTGGACAACCTGCAACCGGTTCAGAGCAGAGACAGGAGTTCCAAATAACAATGCATTAGCGTAGTCCAAGTGAGAGGCGATGACTGATTCCAAGTGCTTCCTCTTTAAGATCAGTCTTAAACGAGATAGGCGGCGTAACTGATAAAAACAAGACCTCACCACTGAGTTGATCTGGAGTCATTGAAAGGTTGGCATCCATTTTTACCCCGAGGCTTATTGCACACTGCTTAGGGTTTAAACCATCAAAAGTGGAATGAGAGCCAGAAGTACTGCGGGTATCAAAGACAATGGACTCAGTCTTTAAATCATTCAGCCTGAGGAAATTGACCACTAGCCAGCCCTTTACGTCTGCCAGACATGCCGCAAGACGAGAGTCCACATTTCCATTTTTAGTGCCACGTATATTTGGCAATTGTCAGCATAGCTGTGACAATTAAGACTGTGCCTATTTAGGATTTTGCCCAGTGGTAGGAGATAGAGAAAAGGAGAGGCACCAGAACAGAGCCCTGAGGCACACCCCAAGGCAGAGGGAGAGAGGAGGAGGAACATTATCCAATCTGAACAGTAACAGATCTGTTGGATAAACAGGAGCGAAACCATTCAAGTGCAATCCCCTTTACCCAACCCAAAACTCAAGACGGTCCAGCAGAATATGGCGGTCCACAGAATCAAAAGCTGCTGAAAGGTCTAGCAAGAGCAGTAATAGCTTAGACCCAGAGTTTATTTTGTTACTGTTAACTATTAAATGTCCTTAAGGTTAGGACAGGGGGGTCTGCTTAGTAATGCTTGACAAAATATTAAGCATAAAGTTAAGCAGTTGTTAATGCTTTACGTGATAGTTTTATTATAGCACCAAGTAATGTTAATAAAAGGGAGCCTTATTGTAAAGTGTTACTAGCACTGGTAATGCTACTTTCAGTAATGAGATGAGGTTCGATTCCCTGCAGTGACCTGCTGTTTGTGTTTATGCTGACATGAAAGAGATGATTTGTTGATTAAAATGAAACAAATAAATCATAACAGCTTTGATGCAATCGGTACACTTACCACTCAGCCTGCTAAGGTTTAGAGACAATTCAAAGATGAGAGAAAAAAGCATTTCCCAAATGTCTACTTAATGGTACGCGTGGTAGATAGCCTGTTGCCTTGCTTCACCTTGAATATTAAGAAAAAGAAACAGAAGATCAGGAACATTCCACATGCTGGTTTGTTTACTTCATGTGTCTTTCCTGTAGTTCTCATCATGGCCGCTAGATGAAGACAACCCCCGCAGAAGGAGATAAGGACAAAGCCTACAGACCTTCGTGAGCAATAAATGTACATGCAACCTTCCCTGTTTTAGAAGAAACGTCCACAAGTCCCGACACACGGGAGAAGACCCTCCCAGCTGTTGGATGTAAACATAACTCAAGTAGATGAGAAGCGGACGTGATGGTGTGAGTAAAGACGGAGTAAGGAGGACTTGTTGAGGAGATGCGGCGGCAGCTGGCGGTGAAGATATTTGGTGGATGCTGAGGATCATCTGGTATCTTCATCATCATCCTTCTCACAAGAGGTAAATGAGTCAACATGGCCGCGAAGCAGCTCGACCTGCACAGCCTCAGAAACAGGCAACACAAAACTGAGGGTATTCTGGGATATGCATCCATAATTATAACATCTAACACGCAGGATCAACGTTTGCCTCTATTTAATCCAAAAACAGTTAATGCTATATTTAGTTTAATGCAAATAATTTGTGTGTTTCCCTTCCCTCTTTAGATTAAATGGCGTTTATGTCCCGGTTTTCTCGGTCCCGGAGCAGCTCCAGGTCTCCGAGCCGAAAAGACTCAGAGCGCGACTCGTCGACTCTGACGGTGTCCGAGCTGGAGAGGCTCCTGTACACGGGCAAGACGGCCTGTAACCATGCAGATGAAGTGTGGCCACGGCTCTACATAGGAGACCAGTGAGTCTGGCTCAAAATGCTGCACCTGTTTGTTTACAGCATCTTCAGTCTACATGTCTAATTTATCAACAGCTAATGTTCTGATCATCTACCAAGGCTTGTCACTGATAGATAGACCATGGTTGAACACACAATCTTACCAAAGTAGGCTAACACCAAATGTTTCAATTGTTTTAGACAAGGCAAGGCAGCTTTATTTGTATAGCACCTTACAACAGTATAAAACCGACCAAAGTGCTTCACAGAAATCAAAACATTAAAAACACCACACAACATAAAATAAAATTATAAAAAATCATCAAAGAGCATTGGAGACATACATTTGGTTTAAGAAAAACTAAATTATTGTTATTTTACTGTTTCATTTTTCATTGTGTTTTGCAATAATGAGGATCAACAGTAGCTATTTACTGTGTGTGTGTGTGTGTGTGTTATTTAAAAAGAAGATGCGTACAACCGTTTATTGTTTGCTCGTGTTGATTCCCATGATTATTATTTTGTCTTTTTTAGGGCATGCCATCTTAAATCAGGCCTGTCATCATTAATAAACTTATAAAACATTTTCTTTAAAGAACTATTTGATCTAACATGCCCCCCTAACAATATTGCAAGTTTTTAGTCATGCTTAAAGGTTGAATATGGAACGCTGACACTGGCGAACTCTGGTGTTCAGCAGGGGTGGACTCTCCTATCTGGCATTCTGGCACTGTCCCGGTGGGCTGCTTAGCCAAGTGGGCCACTTGCCAAGCTTGGGCCATCCCAAACAAAGCCCCCGTCTCACATGCGGTTATAGAGACAAGCCTGTGAGCAGCACACACAACACCCCGTCTCTCCCTCCACATTTGGCGGGATAGACAAGTCGCGAGCAGCAACCTCCCCTGCTGAGGGCAGACGGTTCATTAAAATGCCAGGGCCAAATTTTGGTCCCAGTCCACCCCTGGTGTTCAGAGGTGGTATTGCAACAACAGGACTATTTTTCCAGCCCTACGGATGTTGGTTCACTGCTGACTCGTTCCAGCACCATGTTCAGTGACAAATACAGGATACAGTACAGGATAATCACTAATTATTACCAATAAGTGTTTTTTTACAACATTATTTCCCATTGGAACATCTTCTGGGTTCAGAATCAACTGCTTGACTTATCGTGTCCGCCATTTTATACATTCCCAACCAGGGATGTCTCGATACAACTTTTTTCACTTCCAATACGATACCAATTTTGCAGCCTTTAGTATTGACTGATACCATAATCAGTCCGACATGATATCAGCACAAATCACACATACTTTTACCTATTTCATAGTGTTGAATGCATGGATGTAGTTTTGACATTAGAAGTGGGGGACACACAACCGGCATGAGGACCGGGGGGTGGGGGCGTGGGTATTTACAGTAGGTAAACAAAATTATGTATGAAACTACATCCTAGAGGCTCTTCTATGCAATGTCAGGAATACAGAACTGTCAAGTACACAGGTGGTAGTTAAACAAGAAACTAATACTTTCAGTTCAACTTTGTTTTTCATCTTGTTAGTCACCTTTGTTAGTCATCCTGACCATTTTTTTAACGTTTGGTTGCATAAATGTGAACAGCTGAGGTTAGGGACATAAGGAAAAAACACAATATTGTACCCCGACCAACCGCTACAGGTTGAGTGCCTAAAGTTCCTATTTCACACACTGAAAATCCTCGTGCAAAGTTTTGTGATCATGCTTCAAATGCACGATGAGGTTGGACATATTAATCTTCAAAAAATACAGCCACATGGCCGACATTGTTCCTTGCTACTTTGCTAGCACACACTGTTCTGATCACATGGACTTTGCATGCTGGATCTGGGCACTGCTGGATAGAATTGCTGGAATGGATTTTAAAGCGAAATGGACCGCTAATTTAGGAGATTTTTGATGCAGTCCGATATAATCCGATTCAGTGTTTTTGGGTCGATGATATCCAATATCAATATCCGAATGGGACGTCCTAGTCCCAACCTTGCCTTGCTGAGCAGACTTTTTAGCACAACGGTGCCCTCCAGTGGCTGTTAGATATAAACAAAACCACATTGTCGTGTTCGACAGAATAAATATTTGAATATTTCTTTTACAAATTTTCTTTAAAAAGAGAAACTGTACATTCATTCTACACACCACTGAATGCCCCATGAAGGTATTATCTTTTTTAAAATATAGCTTTTTATGAAAATGGTCCATATTCTAACTTTAAATCTCTCCAGCAGCAGCTAACAGTTCGAACTGAAATAACTTCCTCTTCTCCACAGAAACATTGCGTCAGATCGCAGAGAGTTAGCCAGACTTGGCATTACACACATACTGAACTGTGCACAGAGCAAATGGCGTGGTGGAGCTGAGTATTATGCTGGAATGAACATCACATATCACGGCATCGAGGCTCACGACTCGCCGACGTTTGACATGAGCGTCTACTTCTATCCTGCTGCTGAGTTCATCCACAAAGCGCTCACAAGTGGAGGTAAGCCAGTACATCAAAACATTTCACATTTATGTCCCGTTCCAATGTCGACCCAAAAACATTGTATCAGATTATATTGAACAGCCTCAAAAATCTCCGATATAAGCAGCAGTCCATTAAGGTTCACATTTTTGCAACCAATGGTGGTTGACAAAACATTGTCATTTTTTCATTATTACTGTTATTGGCTCCTGTTCTCCGATTGAGTAATATCACTTGGTCAAGCCTTTCATACATTCCACACTATGAAATAGGTAAAAGTATGTATGATTTGTGCTGATATCGTATCAGATTGAAATCGGTATTGGTCAATTCTGAAGGCTGCAATATCGGTATCATATTGGAAGTGAAAAAGTTGTATCGGGCCATCCCTAATATTTGATCACATTTATCTTCAAAAAATCTTGTTAAAAATACACAATTTTAATCTAGTCCATCCATCCATCCATCCATCCATCCATCCATCCATCCATTCATTCATTCATTCATTCATTCATTTATTTTCATCTGCTTTTCCGGAGTCGGGTCTCGGGGGCAGTAGCCTAAGGCGAGAGGCCCAGACTTCCCTCTCCCCAGCCACTTGGGCCAGCTCCTCCGGGGGAATCCCAAGGCATTCCCTGGCCAGGTGAGAGACAAATGGGCCATTCCCATCTGTACCGGGTCGGCCCGGCCCGGGTAGCCCCAGTCGGCCCCAGCCTGGCCCGGTTGATTCCACACATCCTTGTCTTAAGCCCATGTGGGCTGATTCTACCCACCAATCAGAGGCTTGCTCTAATGGAAGGTGTGAATTTGCTGTCAACAGTGGGTGTGTTGGCCCTGGTCGGCCTGAAGCAGACTCCCTCGAGAAGAGGGCTGAGAATGAGCCTTGGTTGGCCCGGAAAAATACCAGGCCACCCAGATATGTAAACAACCTACGCTACCCGGCCCGGGCCGACCCGGTACAGATGGGAATGGCCCAATAGTCCCTCCACCATGTCCTGGGTCTACCTTTAGGTCTCCTCCCAGTTGGACGTGCCCGGAAAACCTCACCAGAGAGGCGTCCAGGAGGCATCCTGACCAGATGCCCGAGCCACCTCAACTGGCTCCTCTCCATGCGGAGGAGCAGCGGGTCTATTCCGAGCCCCTCCCGAATGACCGAGCTTTTCGCCCTATCTCTAAGGGAGAGCCCAGCCACTCTTCGGAGAAAACTCATTTCGGCCGCTTGTATCCGCGATCTCGTTCTTTCGGTCACTACCCAAAGCTCATGACCATAGGTGAGGGTAGGAACGTAGATCGACCGGTAAATTGAGAGCTTCGCCTTCTGACTCAGCTCTCTCTTCACCACGACAGACCGGTACAATGCCCGCATCACTGCAGATGCAGCACCAATCCGCCTATCGATCTCACACTCCAGTTTTCCCTCACTCTTGAACAAGACCCAGAGATACTTAATCTCCTCCACTTGGGGCAGGACCTCATCCCTGACCCGGAGAAGTCATTCTACCCTTTTCCGAATCAAGACCATGGTCTCAGATTTAGAGGAGCTGATTCTCATCCCAGCTGTTTCACACTCGGCTGCGAACCGCTCCAGCGAAAGCCGAAGATCACGTTCTGATGAAGCCAACAGGACCATATCATCTGCAAAAAGCAGAGACCTGATCCTCAGGCCACCAAAACGGATGCCCTCCACACCTTGGCTGCGCCTAGAAATCCTGTCTATAAAGGTTATGAACAGAATCGGTGACAAAGGGCAGCAATGCGGACCAAGCTCTGACATCGGTCATACAGGGACCTAACAGCCCGTATCAGAGGGCCTGGTACCTTATACTCCCGGAGTACCCCCCACAGGGCCCCCTGTGGGACGCGGTCAAACGCCTTCTCCAAATTCACAAAACACATGTAGACAGTCTTTGGTGTGTTCTTGCTGTGTTGAAATTCTAATTCCATCTTTTAGTTCTTTTTAAAACACAGAAAGATTTTATTTACCTGCAATGTTTCGTTTGCGGCTGCAAACTTTGTCAGCCTGATGCAGATTTCGTTTTCCAACAGGACCTGGCACCTGCACAGAGTGCCACAGCTGCCAGTACCTGGTTTAAGGACCACGGTATCCCTGTTCTTGATTGGTCAGCAAACTGGCCTGACCTTAACCCCATAGCAAATCTATGAGGTATTGTGAAGAGGAAGATGCAATACTCCAGACCCAACAATTCAGAAGAGCTGGAGGCCACTATCAGAGCAACATGGGCTCTCATAACACCTGAGCAGTGACACAGACTGATCGACTCCATGCCACGCTGCATTGCTGCAGTAATCCAGACCAACAGAGCCCCGACTAAATACTGAGTGCTGCACATGTTCATACTTTCAGTTGGCCAACATTTCTAAAATTCCTTTTCTTGCATTGGTCTTAATTGTTACTGTGATATTCGGAGATAACGAATTTGGGATTTTCATTCGTTGTCAGTTATAATAATCAAAATTAAAGAAATAAACTTTGAAATGTATCAGTCTGTGTGAAATGAATGAATCTCTTTATTTATTTATTTAATCTAATAGGCAAGTTTCACTTTTTGAATGGAATTACTAAAATAAATCAACTTTGTCATGATATTCTGATTCTACAACCAGCACCTTTATGTAGTAGACCCATTCAATGGGGCTGATTACCTGTGTTGAACTAATCTCTTCTTAATGTGTGTGTGTGTGTGTGTGTGTGTGTGTGTGTGTGTGTAGGTAAGGTGCTGGTCCATTGCACTGTTGGAGTGAGCCGCTCAGCCACACTGGTGCTAGCCTACCTGATGATCAGACAAAACCTGACCCTGGTGGAGGCCATCAGAACCGTAAAAGACCACAGAGGCGTCATCCCTAACCGAGGTTTCCTACGCCAGCTCAATGGCCTGGACAGCATCTTGAGAGAGAGTCGGAAGACGCCTCTGCAAAGCTGAAAACAGCCTCAACACACAGTCGGTCTGAGGTAGCAGCCATGTGCACTGATAGACAATAGACCCAAGTTCAGAGTAACTAAAGGGTGGCCCTGGGGCGAAAGAAGGTTTTAACCTTTTGCCCAAATCATTTATTCAATTTCACTTCAGCAGAGGAATGTCTCCAGTTAAAACCCAAACTTTTTAAAAGATCGAGGATAACTTTTACTTCAGAGACAATTGCAAATGCATTATGGAGGATTAAGGTTTTATCCTTGAGCCACTTTCACACAATCATTTAACAGATCTTAACCAGGTCTTTCAGGGAAACCATCGGAGTAGCAGCAGAAGGTCAGAGCGTGGTTTTATTATAACTGTGTTGTCATCATTTAAGACTAAAGGCTTCAGGAGCATAAATATCAGATAAAACTGGTTCAGGAAAGCAGCATTTTACTCTAACAGAGGCTTTGTTAAATAGCATCAGTGTATTTAGATAGAAATATCTGTTGTGTGGCAAATACTGTAGATGTCCGACGGGTTTTCCAAGCTTCCTTCATGAGGTACTAGAAGCTTCCACACAGTTCTGGGTTTTAAGCATTTTAGTTTTTAGTTTCATGTGTAGTTGGGACTCTACCTGACTTTCTGCTGGCTCCTGAGCTTACATACACCTAAGAACAGTCAGTTGCCAAGGCCAGGCTTCCTGTTTTAACAATAGCAAAGTCAGTCCAAGTCTGAAATCTAAGGTCTTCTTGTTTGTTCTTTATGATCCATCAAGATACCTCCAACTCAGCATGGTACTTGGTGTTATCCAAGCAAACAACACGCAAACAATTCCTCTTATTGGTCTTACTGACAGTAATCATATGGGTATGTGAGACATCTGACAACAGATGATCTGCAGTTTATAAGAATATTCAAACTTTCTTGTTAGTTTAGTGTTTTGAAAATCAGATTGTGGACAGCAGTAGTGCTCACATCAAAACATAGTATTTATGCAGTGACTCTGCAGAAGTAAGCTAAAACTCTGCAGTTTAAAAAAATAGAAACTTTTCCAAAGATTGTATGAGACAACCCTAAATGTAGTCAAACATATGATATGCAACATTCAGTCACGAGTATGCATCACTGAGCAGTGACAAGAGACAAATCCTGCAGTTAAAACTTTAAGGCTCCGTCTAAGTGAAGTGTTCACTAGTGAAGGATCACATGGACTGTGGGACCATAGTTGTTAGTTGGAAAGGAAGCTCAAAGCAGTCGGTGATTCTTGAATACTGGATGAGGTCTTTATCCATCCATGGTTGCTGGGGTTGTGTGGGTCTCTCGTCCAAATGTATCTTCTGGATCTGGAGAAGGCTAAAGCAACAGTGTATTTTTTCTGTGTGGGTTAGCGCTAGGCTGGGCCCACGCTACCTTCAAGCCACATTTGTTCATCCTCATCTCCACCCAGAGCCTGCTGCATCCTCAGCAGTTTGTTGTAGACCTCTTCCCACATAACTGGGTGTCAGACGCATACTGCTGAAGGTTCCACCTGCTTTTCAGCAACAATCCTCAATCAGATTTTGTAGCACATGTAAACAAAACAACTACTTGTTCTTCTTGCCAGAGCAAGAGAGGCTCTTGTGTTTTTGAATGTCTCTGATATTCTTAAACGTCTGCTTGATAATTTGTGTGTAATGACATTTTATTATTATTAACTATATTAACTTCCTCCTGGTGCCATTGGTGACATCTAGGAAAGTAACTTTGATTAATCAGAATAATTGACTTTCAAAAACCGTTGCATCATATCACCTTCAAAAATCAATGCTTTACCTAGATCAAATGTAATTATTTACTTAGTTGGGTTTAGATCTGATAATCTAGTCTGCTATTGGGTCTAAATAACATATGATTGGGATTGTCTTGAGTCAATGCCCAAGTAGTGATCACACCTGGTCCTGAAGATAATCTAATCAACATGAAGATATAAAACCTTCAGAATGATGGTATTATTCAGTGAATCTGTCTCAAAGTTTTCAGCGTCTCTCTGTGATAAACACAGATTGTGTGTTTTTACATGAACGGTGACCAGAGCTCCCACTGCCTGTTGGGCTTCTTGTGTCTTGGTGTTGAGCAAAGCTTGAGCTCTCCAAACATTAAAGCTACAAATCACTGACATTTAACCCCGCTTTTAAATATCCACCCGAGAGTTGTAAATTATTACCTCAAGTATTGTGTTTGAAGCGTAATTTCTGTGATATGTGGTCTTTGTGCTATTTTAATGCCACCATGATGGAGTAAAGGTGATGGGGAGGAGGATCAGCTGGATCAAGCTCAGTGTTACAGATGTACATAAAGAACATGGATGTGTGTTTATACAGGCTTATACTTAAATGGGGTTCTGTTCTAAACTATATCTCACCTGTTTCTTGTATTGCGTTGAAGGACCTCAGTTGAATTTTCTTGCACCAAAAACTCACATAATGTGTGTATTTACTAGTTTACCTTTGGAAAGTAAACCCAACTTTGTTATGCTCTTTCAACTTCCTGTTTAACAGTGTCACCCCAGCAGTGTCCAATTAGACCACGTTGAATATTGATTTAAACTTCTGATTCTGAAAGCAGCTGCTTGTATTTTACCAGATTTTGGTTTTAAACTCTACTTGACCAAGGCAGAACAGCAAACCAAAGTTAACACGATTGTTTGTAAATTCAAGGAATGGTTTGTTAGCATCATGTGGAATTGTGTGTGTCACATCTTGGAGAACGGGACCAGAAAAAACAAAACTTTGTTGTGGTTGGTATCAGAATTTGGACAACACAATTCTGAGATGTGCACTGCTACCACAGTGAACCCTAGTGTTCCCAAGCAAAGATCATCTTTACACAACTCTGTATGATTGTTCAAGGGGTCTGCAGTGGCAGTTCTTTAGCCACCTATGGCTTTAAAATTTTTTAACAACTTCTGACTAATGTTTAAATTGATATTATGAAATAGTGATTTGATCAATTTTTTTCATTCAGACTCTGTGCATTAGGATTTTAGCAACCAAGGGACACTAATAATACAAGTAGGCTAGCTGCTTCATTTAATTACGTAATGGACGCGTGCAAAACATCCCATTATTTTAATTTCGGAATTAAAATTACCGGGTAAAAAAAGCTTGAATTTGTTTTTAATGCACCGATCAGTTTTATTGTTCAGCACACTCCTGTGACCAACAGTCAGACAATGACACAAATGTTTGTTTCTATTAAGGGCCTGGTCAGTGTTTGTTTTTTTCTCAAATGTTTCTATGATTACTGAAGTTGAACCATGCGCATTTTGGCAGTTTCAAAGACTTTGATTGAAAATTATACAAGGCTGATGCAGAGGCTCAATTGTTGGGGGGGAGTTCCACTAGGAGGATGACTTGGTACCATTCATGAGTCCTGGTGCTGCTGGACTTTCTTGGGCTTTTCCAAATCCTGCTTTCAAATGAAATGGAAACTTTTAGGATTAGGCTCATTTGAACTTTTATTGGTTTAATCAACCTTCATCAGTTGTAGAGTTTATCAAAAGTGTAATCATTTAAACTGAAGCAGCCAAATTTGTGTCATTCCTAAAACTTTTGACCTTTAAGCATCAAGTAGATTTAGTGACTCCAAACAAATCACATTCAGTAGTGTACATGATAAAAATGTCTTCTTTGTAAAGGCCGCTAACCCCGGGACTAGAAGTTACCAGAACTAACTGGAAAGGTGCTAAAGGTTAACATGAACGTGTTAATGTCATCCTTCCTTTGTATTATCCAAGTCAGCCTGCTGTCATGATGATATTACAATTTGAAATTTGAAAAAACTAATCAAGTGTTTATCTGTTTTGATGAAACTGGTAGATGCTTCTGCTCAGTGGTTCTCCTCTCCTGCCACTGTATTTCAGGAAGTACCACGATGTCTTTTTAACAGCAAAATCTGCCGCTCTGAAGAAGCTTTCCTCTGTCTACTCAGTGAAAATCATTCAGAACTCTCCAGAGATAATGTAGGGGTGTGTCCTCTCTGTTAAGAGCTTTCTCGTATACATCTGAATGTCTTTCTATGTGTGGGTTTGATGTCACGTGCTCCGTCTGTGGTTCCTGTTCCTTTCTAACTGAAACCTTTCTATAGGAAAACTTGAACTCTTGTGAATTTATTTTTGTATCCCTCTCTTTGTGGTTCATTGAAGGACAAACCAGAAAAGGAGATACTGAGGCCTTAATGTGTGTTCTTCAATTGAGCCTTTTACTGTGGAAAATACTGGCTATTGATATCTTTGTTTTGATAAATTCTGGACTTTATTGTGAATAAATAAATAAACAACATTTCAGAAATATTTTGCTGCGTTATTTTAATTTTAAATGGTTTTGATTGCATTTAAACACAGTTAAATCCATGTTTTTGCAATGGTTTAAACTTTTTTCAATTTTTGAGTTCATGTTCACAGGAAAGGTAGAAAGCTGATATTGGAACAAAGAAAAACGTGCTTCAGGGGTCATTAGTGTTTCTGGAGCTTTAAAGCCCGGGTCACACTGCGTTTTTCAGCTGTCGCAAAGAACTACTTCATGTCACAAGGTAAGGACTCTGGAGAGGTGGCACACTACACAGCCCAAGATTTAGTGAGCCAAACTGCATGATGTCTCACTCCAGAAGGACACGCTAACATCACAAGTGTACTCGCTAAAAAGCAGACATCACTAAAAGCCAACAGATACCCAAGACACCAATGAAAAGAGAAAAAGGCATTAACACTCCTTTTATCTGAACTCCAAAAAGGAGTAGTCCTACATGTTCTTACACATAGCCTCTTTTGTTGCTAATGTTGCTAATGTTACTCTCATACTGTACTTTGTTAGCATCACTCCCATGCGTGTACTTTCATTGGTTGATTGTAGACCGGCGTGGTAGGTTTTCTGACACTGCTTGAAGACTGTTGGAGGCTGATTTTGGTTGTGAGAGTGCTCAATAAGTTGTCACTCAGCTGGTCACACTGGATGTTCACAGATCTGTAAATCACCCTCGCAGTCACCATTTTTCATCACGACAAGATTTTTTATCTCGAACGGCCAAAAATACTCAAGTGTGGCCCGGGCTTTAGACACTAGAAATGAGTAAACTGTTTTTCTTTTCCTGAGAATGTTAAGACAATGCAAAACCACGTCACAAACGTGGCTGAGGAACAAACTGACCTGTGGTCAAAAACTTGCTTCATGCAAACTGTGACATTATTTATGGGAACAAAATAAGTTCAACAAAGAAATCAGAGGAGCCACATCAGAGCAGAAACATCAGCCTCTTTTTAGTGAGCTGAGCCAAAACTCCAGTAGCTGTTATCGCACCAGTTATGTAGGATGAAACTATTTCTCTGAACCAAGGCTACTCATGAAGCTATCTCCAAGATAGGAATTATTTATTAAATGTTTCAAAAATGCCCCTAAAAGAAGCTTTAAGAATTTAGCATATTCCACAACAATAACAGGTGATGACTGAAACACATCGAAATACAGTATCTTTTATTTTTTGATGGAATTAATTTAAGTCTGCTGCTAGGAACAAATATTTATATTTTATTATACTGACTAAACATGGTCACAGAACCTTCCTTTAAAGGAAGAAGGACAAATCACGTTTTTCAAGTTTTATTTACACCATCAATGATTTCCACACAGATTTTGTTAATACATATCCTCTAAGGAAAGATTATATAAGGTACAAAACATTACAGAACAGGCATCAACACAGAAGGAGCTGAAAGGAGGAAGAAGCAGTTTTCCTAAAGTTGTTGTTTTTTCGCGGACAGGAGGGCGGGCTGAAGCTGAGCTGCTCTATTTTAACTCACCACAGTCAGCAATCACAACCTCAGCTTTAGGAGAGCCGCTCTTTGAGCCCTGCTTCTCCATCGCCTTGACAACATCTATTCCCTCCACAACGCTGCCGAACACCACGTGCTTCCCATTCAGCCTGCACAGCAGAGCAGCCCATTAGTAGGCAAAGCAACACCTGGAACAAACTGGAACTTGATTAAACGTTGTAGCAGAAATCCACATCTTGTATCCTCAGATTAACTTTGTTTGGATTTACACGGAGAAGAACAATAACATTTTCACACAAAGGTTTCTTTCACACTTAGCAGGAAAAAAAAGGGGGAATTTGAAACTGGCCTACAATTGTAAAAATTCTAAGATACCAATTTTCGAACATCTGGCTAACTCCTACATTTTCTCCCAGGAACGTAAATTTTACCAAGTGACTTGTTTGTTTCCCTCCTTAAGCATCAAAACCCTGGTATTTTTCTGTTTATCCACAGTCAAAGGTATTTTAGGTTGTTCACCATTACAATTCAAGGTGTTCCAAGTAAATGTTTAAACTATTATCAGTTACAAACCTACACTACTTGTGCTGTGTTTTTTTTCTTTCATGTTAAACTTCTGCCGTTGTGCTTCACCAGTTCAAAACCATGCTAAAATTGATACAGTCAAGCTCAAGACCTGAAGTTAGTTATTTTCTGTTTAAAGTATTAGAGGCCTTATTTGGAACAACTTTGTTAAAATTGTGAGCATGAATCTCTCATGGTTGTAAGACTGGGTTATTTGAAAGAGACACAGTGCCATCAAGTGGTTAATGAGTGAAATACATGTGGGTGTGACCAAGAAGTTTATAAAAGGCAAAGTTCAGACCTCGTTATGGCAGGAGAAAAAGAGTAAAAGATTGCCTTAAACACAAATCCCTGCGGGCTGTTTCCATCTGACCTAGTAGAACCCGGCGCTTTACAGTTGTCAAGTAATTAGCTCTCAAAAGTTACGTAAAAATCTTTGAAGCAACTCAGTTTGTTTTGTTTTGACTTCCTACGTGAAACCGGAAGTCTGTGTGTTCAGTCGAGTTCTCACATTAAGAGTGAAACCCAATTTGGGACAGTTTTCTCTGATTCAATCTCGTTTTGGATAATTCGGACTTGCGATCTGAATTCCACGTTTGGTGTAGCTGGAGGAACCGAAAAGTCACGCCACAACCGAGGATTACCATATCCTCCCCTTTCCACGACCGACGTTGACCGACCAGGGTGCCAGCACCATTAAAGGCAAAAAAGCCACGAGCCAGGAACCCAAGGCTGTTGGAGCCGCTGGCCACCCTTCCGGCGACGGAAAGCAGGTCTGTGAAACATTTCCATCTGGCTGACCTTTTCTGCTATAAGCCGATTTGTGAATTCAGATAATTACATTTCTTTTGTGGTGTGTTTTATTTCGATCCCACATTCTCGTTTAGCTGTCAAGATCCTCTTCCTTCTGCCATAACGAGCCACACACACACACACACACACACACACACACACACACACACACACACACACACACACACACACACACACACACACACACACACACACACACACACACACACACACACACACACACACACACACACACACACACACACACACACACACACACACACACACACACACACACACACACACACACACACACACACACACACACACACCTTTCAGAAATGAATCCTAATATTTACTATAATCCTATGTGTTACCAAATTTCCACTTTTATTACAGACTAGTTCTGTCATAGCACCGCCATAAAGCTTTGGGTTTATTCACTTACTTATTCTCATGCGTGAAACAATAAGCTGTGTTTGGTTCTCTTTGTTAATTGTCACAACTGATGTTTGTAATAAACTCACAAAACGTAAATAACGCCTGATCATTGTCTAGCAATTCTCGGGAATAATCGGCACATTCTGTCAAGAATTCATCCTTTAGATTAATTTGTGGTGTTAACTCTGAGACTGATTACATTGCGAAGATAAAGATATTAAATCCAACGGTCCAGTTCCGGAAACTGGTGGTGCCCCGATTAATTTATATAAGATTATAAACAAGCTAAATCTACATCACATTTGAAATATAGATAAAAATCTATATTTATCGCTACAACGTGGACATAGTCCTGCAGCATGTGGGGCTCACCAGTCAGTGGAGGCCGTGCAGATGAAGAACTGAGACCCGTTGGTGTTGCGCCCCGCATTTGCCATGGACAGAGTTCCCATTCCTTTGTGTTTTAACTGGAAGTTCTCATCAGGGAACTTCTCCCCATAGATGGATTTGCCTCCAGTTCCATCATGGTTGGTAAAGTCACCCCCCTGAAAGAGAAGATATCCATTTACCTCAGCACCATCACGTTTGAGGCCCAGAAGCAGGAACTGAACCGTCTTACCCAGAGCCGCCCCTGGGCATGCTCAAGTTAAGCAACTGCTTAGGGCCCCCACACCACCAGGGCGCCCACAAGAGCACCAAGATTGAGTGTAAACATTTTGATAACTTTAAATAAAATAAAATAAATGATATTAAACACAGATAAGTCATTGATAGCATCATTTATGCAGTGCCTTTTGGTTTTATTTAGTAGGGATTGCACATTTTATTCAAATCTGTTCCAAATTTTAAGAAAAAAGTAGTGAACTTGGCTTGTTTACTGTAGATCCAGTTTTTCTGCTGATGTTACTTTCAAATTGTTTAATTTATATACCAAAAATAAAAACCACTCAGGAAAACCTGCTTGGGGCCCCTCAAAAGCTTGGTTCGGCCCTGGTCTTATCTGAACATTACCTGGCACATGAATTTGGGGATGATCCGGTGGAAGGTGGAGCCTTTGTAACCAAAGCCTTTCTCTCCAGTGCACAGAGCACGGAAGTTTTCTGTAGAACCAAAACAGTGTCATGTTCTGTCCCCCACTGCAAAACACAAAAACCTCAGAAGTCTCACAAGCATGAAACCTCCCTCACACTCACTCTGCAGCTCTTTGTAGATCTTTTGTGTGTTCTGTCAGTTTCTGACTTTTCCTTTTCTGCACTTGTGTGTTTTGAGTTTAGTGCTGGTTTTCTAAGGGCTGTGGTATTTTGTGACTCTTAAAGATGGGGCATTGATTCACATATTAAAAATAGTTAATACATGGATTTTGCCTAATTTTGCTTCTCGTAACAATAAAATAGTGAGTTGCGACATTTTAACTTGTTTGCCAAATTTGTAATTTACAAAGTTTTTCTACATAAATTCTAATAGTAATATTTTTACTTAAAATATTTTAAACCAACTTGAGTTAAATACAAATGTTAAAAATATAAATGTGATTATTTAGCTAACATATAAATTCAGACTGCTGTAAAACAGAAGCAGCTTACCAAAATAAACCAGCAGGTTGAGGAGACACTCTGATAGTAGGATTGTTAACCCCGCGTGTGTTTATCTGGCTATTCCCCGCACATATATGACCCGTGATTATATGTGTCATGATCATGCCCTGACCTCTGTGTTTTCCTGTCTCCCTGCAGCAGCAGTCATCAAGCTGATTAATTTCACCTGTGCTGCTCCCTATTTAAGCACCTGGCTCCTGCTGCTCAGGGCGAGATCGTCTGCTGCCCTGTCACAGTCCTTCGAGCATTTGAACATGTCTGTCTGCCTATTTATCTCTGACCCCTGCCCGACCACGGAACCTGTCTGCCTGTTGCCCAAACTCAGTCTGTCTGACCATGGAACCCGTCTATTGCCTCAGCTCCCGCCTGAATCTGAGCACTCGCCTTCATCAGCATTCCTCACCGCTGAGCACCGCTGCTCTTCTCAGAAGGCCTCGCCACCCGGAACCGACTCCAGCTGGTCCCGATCGCTTTAACAAGTCCTTTAATAAACTCTTTAAAATCTTTCTCTGCGTTTGGCTGTTGTTGGATCCGGCTGATCGTCACTAGGTCTGACCGTGACAATATGGACTCACAATCTTACCATCAAAGGAACTCTGAGACGTTGCACAGCGCCCACCTCATGCTAGAGCGTGTGTTAGATACATATTTACTTTAAAAAACCCACATTTAGATTTCAACATCTAGATGTAGCCTAAAATATTTAGATTGAATTATTTTCATCTTATTGAAGACAAATTATTCATTGTGCTGCCTCACTGCCACCTAGGATTGACTGATTAGTATTAGCCTCAAGGGCAACCTGCTGGCATCATTTAATTTATGTGTGTGTGTGTGTGTGTATATATATATATATATATATATATATATATATATATATGTGTTGTAATTTCTTTGTTCTGCAGCCCTCCAGCTGTTCTTGCAGCAAATAGCTTTATTATAGCCTTATTTCTCTCTCCTGTGTTACTGAAACTACTTCATGAACACAAACACACAGACCATGTTTGGTGCGCTCACTGAGTAAATGGGTCATGTGACTTACAATAGCTTTGTGGGACAGAGACACAGTCAGACACTAATGCATCATGCAGGCTTACGTTTCAGGAGCATAACGAACGAAGAACTAACCCAACGCAGAGGCTTTAAATGATTTTTGTTCTCATTACTATTAATGTTAGCAGCAGTAGCACCTAATAGCTGTTTGAATTATTTATTCTCATGTCTAGTTCTGAGACCAACTTGATTTCTTGGCTGAGGAACATTGGGGAAGTTGGGGTGTGTGTGTGTGTGTGTGTGTTTCTGTAAGCAGAGTCTTCGAGCTCACCCACCTGCGGTCTTCGGGACCACATCAGCTCGCAGCTGACAAACAGAGATTTAAATTAGAGCAAAGAAATCATGAGTGAAGCAGTAAAACGAGCTACACAGCACACCAAAAAATGAATTTGTTTTCTTTTTTAAATGTCTGAATAGACCTGGCAGGAGAACAAGGATGAACCAGTGTTGAAGAAAACACATGTTTGTCAACCTGTCACAAACAGAAGTGTTGCCGCTTCATTGTTCTACAAAAAAGCCAGATAACCACATCAGAAGCATCCTGACATCTACCGTAACAGTTTGGTATGAAAAGACCAGAGCCAAGGGCAGAATGATGAACCCCTCCGTCCTTCAAGCAGAAGATTGAAAAGCCTCAAAGGCAGCAAGGAGGAGCATCTTCTCCTCTGAGGCTCATCTGCTCTGACCTTAACCTCCTAAGGCCCTGTGTCCACATATGTTGGCTCCTTGCACATTAAAATGTATTCTCTTAGACCTTTTTGTTAATATTTATGGACTCTTGATTTTGACTTTAATTAACATTTATTTGTTGTCTTTATTTTTATGTTTTTTACAACATTTTAATTTAATAATTGTATTTTAACTGTTGTAATTTATTCCCTTTAATTACAGTCAACCAATATGTAATAGCTACATATGTTTCTTCTTTTAAATCAAATACAACTTTGGGTCCCAGGAGAGCATTCTTCTGGTATTGGTTCCCTTCATTTAGATGTTTACTAGTGACTTTAGTTGTTTATTTTATTCAGGCTGGTCTGAGAAAGACATTTCCCTCCCCTATGCCACTAATATGAAAGACAATAAATTAATCTAATTAAAAATATCAAATTATGTTTAAATCACTTTGGTGTTGGTTGGTACTAAAATATTATTTTTCGGAATCGTTTGGAAAATAAAAACAAATCAAGTGTTCTGAGACAGACTGATGAGGAAAATGCCTTTTAAGAAACACAACCTGTCAAAATGTCAGTAAAACCCTTCAAATAAAAGGATTCACAGAAACATCACGATGCTTTTTCCTGATGGACAGCTACCGGTGCTTAAAGGAGCTGAGCTGCTCCTCTCCAGCTGCCATTTAGAGGATTCTGTGTAGCTCAACAGCTGCTATTAGAAAAACTTAAGCCTGAAAATAGCGGAAAAACAACAACAGTCATCTCTCAGCTGGAATCCTGGATCTCACCTCCATTGTAATCCTGCCTGCGCTCGCGCCATCGATGGTGATGTCAAAGAAAACACGGGGGTTTCCCATGGCTCCTACAGAGGGATGGAAATGCAAAGACAAACCCGTCGTCTGGTCCTGTCAGCTTATTTAGGTCCGCTCATGTGTGACGTTGTCCCCCCCAAACAACATCAGCCAATCACAGAACAGCTCCTACACGTCTTCAGAGAGGACCACAAGGAAAACAGGTGGGCAGGGCGCGCGCCACTGAGCTGTCATCTCCATGACAACCTTCAGCTGGAACAACCCAGAGGTCATAAAATATCAAATACACTAGATGGCACATAGCCACCTATTAGAGGCGTAAGCTTGTGATGCAGTGAAAATTATAATTGTTATTATTATGACTATTACCGTTGCTGTTGAAATGTGATCTCATTGTTAACAACGTGCTAATTAATCCACCTTTCACGTACACGATTTACATTAAACCTTTGTTTAATAATGAATGGATGGAAACAAAAACCCTAACCCACTAAAGCCTGCGGAACGGCCCAGAGCACCACTGTGAGTCATTACAAAAGATTCATACTATTACATAAACTATGAAATAGACTTTCAAAGACTGAGCTACTGTCATGCATCTGAATGTTGAAGATGGCTCTGGTGCCCTCTGCTGGCCGAGTTCATGAAGAAAACAGGACGACCTTATGGCTCCTTTAGCAAAAAGAAAAAAAAAAAAAAAGCTAAATCAGACACCGTGAGAGGCAAGGCCACATTCTCACATAGGAACCCAAAACACATGCAAAGGGTTCCTGAGCCTTTACGGTCCCAGTCTAAGTTAAATTGCTGAAATAAATGAACTTCTGCTCCAAATTCAAATTTTTAGGGTGTCATCAACTGACATTTGTAATAATAAATCTTTAACAATCATAATAAAATGTTTAGAATTATTGTAAAGCAATCTGCCAAGGATTTAATGTAACAAGTTGCCTGAAAAGCTCCAATTAAAATTCTATAAAGCTAAAATAGACATTCTGGTTCTACTTTCAGAAGTCTGTCATTTCTTTGCTCATAAGCTTTAATTGCTGTCTGGCCTAAATTACCAAAACTATATTAGGTAATGGCTTTAGACATCTGCTTCTCCATCCATCCATCTTCTTCTGCTTATCCGGAGTCGGGTCGTGTGGGCAGTAGCCTAAGTTGAGAGGCCCAGACTTCCCTCTCCCCAGCCACTTGGGCCAGCTCTTCCGGGAGAATCCCAAGGCGTTCCCTGAGAGACATGGCCCCTCCAACATGTTCCGGGTCTCTCTTTAGGCCTCCTCCTGGTTGGACGTGCCCGGAAAACGTCACCAGGGAGGTGTCCAGGAGGCATCCTGACAAGATGCCCAAGCCACCTCAACTGGCTCCTCTCGATGTGGAGGAGCAGCAAGATCTACTCCGAGCCCCTCCCAGATGATCGAGCTTCTCACCCTATCTCGAAGGGAGAGCCCAGCCACTTTGCAGAGAAATCTCATTTCGGTCACTTGTGCGATCTCGGCTGGGGAGGCAGTGTCCATGCCACTGTCCCGGCCATTGCTCACAGGCCTTTCGCCATAAATTACGTAATTTTCGGGGAGCCATTTCCAACGACCGCTATCTGCCCCACTCTGGTCGTTGTGGCCTTCAACCGCCCTGTACTTAGTTTAGTTTTCACGGCACTGCCTGGAGGTACGGTTTAAGCCACGCATGGCCATGGCGTCAGCAAGCTCCTGAAAAACCTCCTCCTTTCTCACAGATCTGTCCAGTTCGTGCTGGAGTCTGTCCACCAGCAGCAAGGGATGCTTTCAACTCGTCGTTGGTCCAAGGCGTTGAAGTAGTCTGAGAAGAGGACATGTTCCGTTGTTCTTGAAGACAATCTAGGTAAAGGAGATGTTCAGCAGGTTTGTTAGTTCTGTTGGGTTTGGCGCTATTCTGTGACATCACTTCCACACACTGCTAGGCCAATCACAACTTGCATTTTCGGTAGGCGTGAGCCTCTTCTCGACCAATCAGTCCATGGTGGATGTGTGACGTCAGCTCCCCACCACTCAGACCACCGGGTCTAAGTGGTCTGAGCACAGCAGGTTGAGCACGAACACAGACAAACACTACCTCAGGAGGACCGGTCTGGGTTAGATGGCAAAGCGCCAAAATAACAGAATGCCAATTCAGTCTTGCAGAGTGGAAGTTAAATTCTGAACGATGGTTTCACCCGAGCTCTAAAGGGGGTGGAGGCACCCGTTTCACTAGAATCCCGTTATTGTCTATAAAAGATTTTGTGCAGTCTTTAGTAAACTTTGACAATGTCCCACTAACATCTATCACAGCACACTGATTGAGCTGCATGATGTGATGTAGAACTTGACTGTTTTTATAAAATACAGACAAAAATCAGGACAGAATTACAAACAGAATGGTATTATGGGTCCTCCAATGCTTTCAACTCCCAAATAATAAACAACAAAGGTTAAATAATAAACGGGGCATTTCTAAATTGGTCAAAAGGTGCAGCCTATAATATAACCTTAACTAAATACAACTGTTATGCATAGAATATTTTTACAACTGCATATCTTGGCTTCCAGTCACACGAAGCAAATTCATTTTGTCAAATAAAGTGACTTTAATTTAGATTCAGGAGAGGACCAAATAAATGTGGGTACAATGATGATTATGATTACAAAATAAATAGAAAATTATGTCAATTACAATGAATTACAAAATATATGAAGCTGTTTACATATTAAAAAACTTTTTTCCTCACCATCTAACAATTTTGCAGTTAAATAGTTCATAATTTTCTAATAAAACACTTTGTGTTGCTTATACTGGCAAAGAGCATGTTTCATTGTTGAGGGTGGAGTCCAAAAATCCATCATAATAAAAAACATCAGCGTTAAAGTGGTAGTAAAACCCGACTTTAGCATCTCTTCCCTACGTGCCTGTCAGCTGATTCAGGTTTGTTTATATGATGTAGACATTATTTTACCACTGCTTTATAGCTTTCCAACATACAGAAATGAATACAGTGCCAAAAATGACCCATTATCCAACTAATGACATTAAAGTTACCATGATTAACAATCGATTCACACACGTTCTCTAATGAAAACAGCTGATTATACAGTACATAAACCCGTGTCAGGTTGGGTTAAACATGTTGAAAAGTTTCAAAACATAAAAGCTTCCCCACAGCAGAGGACACCATGACACACAGCTCATTTACAGAAACCACCCAGGCAGAGGGTGGTGGTGGTGGTGAATGGGGGATTTCACAGTGCTGTATCATGTTGTTGACACAATGAATCTCTCAGCTGTACATATGGGCCTTTCGTTGACTGTCCATTCTCACATCCTGTCAAGACTACTGTTCATGTTCCACATCTTCCTCATCGTTTACAATACGACTTCTTTATTTTTCCATTCCAGCATTTCTCATAAAAATGCCAAAACCAACAATGAATGTGTCCCGTTGACAAGAACCTTATGGGAACGGATCTGAAGACTTTGCTTAGGAAACATGAAACATTTTCTGTAAAACACAAAATGTTCTTCCCATTGGTCATATTTACAAAACTGGAGGAATCCACCAGGATGTCACCTGCTGGTTTGTCAAACTTCAAGCCTCAAGTTGTAAGTTTGGTTGATAGGTGTGATACATAAAACCACCTTTTCATTTAGAATAATTTTTAAAATAAAACATCTAAAAACTGAAAATTTTAAAGGTGTGGAACACTTGTTTAATCAACAGATTTGCTGTGGTCCCTAGTAGGAATGAATGCCTTTTAAGTTGTACTCAGTGGAAAAAAGCCCTGGTGCACCTGCTTCAGGAACTAGAAATGGGCCAGATCAGACGAGAGCTTTAGACGACAGGATTTGGAGTCTTATTTTGACATCTGATTGGAAACAGCAATGCAACTCTACCACTGACTCTGCAACATTGATATTTTATCTCCACTAATGACACAAGCCTGGAGGAGTTCTGCTGTGTGGTGGAGATGCTAATGGTTAGCTTCTACTAATTGAGATATTCTCTGTTTCCTGGACGCTAAACCAAAAACAGCCTTACCTGTCATGAACCAAGATGGGTGAGTCCCTGAATGTTAAGTGACAGTGTGACGTAGATCTGTCAGGATTTTCTAATCCTAGAGTTTCACCATCTATTTTCTATCAGAAACTAATGTAGGAGATAGGTGTAGGAGACTATTTTCATGTTCAGCCTGAGTGAAAAACTCAGAGTGACCAATTATAATCAGAAATAAACATTAAAAATATTTTTTCCCCAGTGAACCACACCTTTAAAAGTTGTACAACTAAAGTGTAAATATCAGTCTGACTTCATCTTAAAATTTGCAGCAAAAAACTGGTCATAATGTTGTAAGATTAGCTGCTACATCCATGTTTTATATACAATCTGTGAACCGTGCATCACTCCCTAAAAGCTCAAAGTGTGTTTTCATCTGTCGCTAAACACCAAACTGGACAACATGTCAACTACATTTATAGAAACATGCTTCAAAGCTAAATTAATACTGTTACACCACCACTGGCTACATTTCTAGTTAAGGGGGTTGCCTATATAATTAAAATTGAATTAAAACAGCCCAAAAGCAACAACTTTAAGTGAAAACAAGTGGATTTATGATGAGTTTATGAGACACTACAGACTCTGAAGTTTACATCACTTCCTGGGAGGAAACCTGGAACGTTTTATGGTGCATTAATCGATGACTAACAGCTTAGACGTTGTCGTTCAGTTTGTTGAGACAAACAGCCGTTATTTCCTTCTTGTCAACACTAAAGGCAGAAACGGATGCTTGCGTTGAAACCCTGGAACACGACTTAACAGTTAAAACAATAAATATTTGTAAAAATACTGACATAATCTGTATATCATCACCACATTTAACAGATATAAATTATTTTCCGCTAAACAGCTCTGCCCAAAACAGAAACATACGCAGCTCCTCCTCCTCTTTGAGCTACTTTTAGGAAAACACTGATTCACGTAAGTGATTTCTGTTTGGAGGGATGGACAAACACTGTTGGTTTTGATGTTCTTATGCTTACAGTCATGGTCTGGAAAATCCAGATGAAAGAGATCATGTAGATTAACTTCCAAACTAATAAGCATCCTGTTAAAAACACTTTCATATCAAAGGGGATTACAAAAAGACAACTTCAAAGGCAGCATGTGGAACAAGAACCGAAGCTCAACAAAGATGCTTTACAGCTGAATATTCTTCTTTATGTCGACGCAGGTAAACACGCCGCAGTGAGAGAAAACCTTTACTGTGGAGGCTTCTGATCAGATTAACTAGAAATAATAAAACCACTTCTTCACATGACAGTTGGAGCACAGGATGGAAGCATAAAACTGGAACATACAAGATGAGAACAACGTTCTGCTGTCTGGACTCAAAGCAACTGAGGAAAAAATTCTCATGTATCAAAATTGTACCTCTGTCTAACATGGGCAAATCTATACAAAAGTTCTGGCTGATGCTGCACGAGTATGCATCCTTTAGCTGGACTTCCCCATGAATGAACCCCTCCCACCAGTGACTTGTGCTATAGAGTAAAATGCTGGTCTGATGCCTTCAGAGTCCACGTGGTTCAGTCCTTCACACTCACCAGAGTCCTACAGCGCTCCATGGTGCACCTCACCACTAAACTGAATAGATTAGAGCGCAGTTGGACACCCAAGAAAGACAAGAAACAAAACACAAACGCTGTGTCACACACACACACACACACACACACACACACACACACACACACACACACACACACACACACACACACACACACACACACACACACACACACACACACACACACACACACACACACACACACACACACACACACGCGCAGAAGTGGGTGCAAACAGAGCCGAGGCGGCCTTTAACCCAAGCGGGCTCCATGACAGCAAGCTGAAGGCTGGTTCTGGAAGGTGAAGTTCACATCAGTTGTTCTCAAACAGCGCCAGCAGGTCATCGTTGCTGTTGTTGGGGAGGTCAGGTGGCCCCAGGTACGACAGCAGCTCGTCTGGGTTCGTCAGCTCAGGAAGAAGCTGGGAGACCAACAAAGATGTTTAACAAAACTGGAGATAAAGAAAGTCCTGGTCAGGAGGTTTCCTGGTTCTCGGAGCATTGTTGATTATGCTTAATATTTTTCTCCTCTGATTCCAGTGGAGCACCATTAGTTTTAGATGAGTCTACCATAGAGCCACGTGGTGGCACAGATGGGAGCATGGTTGCTTCCCGGCAGGAAGGCAAATACACCCAGCAGCAGCCTTCTTGTGTGGAGTTTGTGCGTTTTCTTCATGAACGTGAGGGTTTCCTCCCACAGCCCAAAAACACTCTGCAAAATGAAGCTACCCGGTGTTTTGTAGAGATGTGTTTCCCTACCAAAACTGTCTCAGTTCCTCATGCTGCCAACTCTGAGCCTGTATTCATGATATCATGATATAAACAAAGTGCATCATGAAAGGATGGATGTTTCAATGTAATCTGATATATTATTGAACAGCCCAAACTGGAACCACACTGTTACCTAGGACGCTTTTCTATGCAACAGAACTGAGAATAATTTGTAACTTTGCTGCAATGTTTTCATTCCAAACGTATTTGTTGCTGTTTAGTCACAAAGTAGCTTAACTATGTCTTCATGTGTTTGTGATATATCCTTCCTTCTGCTCTTGTATAAATAGTTAATAAGAACAGATGCACATACTGAATCCTCCTAAATGCAGTTTTAAAATAGAAACTTTGATTCCATCAAGTCTTTTTTTTTCTGAAATACCGCTTCATCTCAGAGCTGAACACACAATCAACAAGTCCTACTCACATCTAGAGTGTGATCGGCCGCCTCTCCTGGACCGCCCAAACCAAAGGAGCTGTCACCCTGCAGTCGCGAATTCTGGGTACTGGAGCTCCTTTGAGGCAGTGGGCTGCTGGCGTCACTGAGACTCTGGTTGCCGTGGACACCTGAAGCATGCTGCTGGAGGATGTTGTGTGAGTGTTCGATTCCTCCAGGATGACCCGTCTGACAGCACGGAGACAGAAACAAGTATTTAAATATGGCAGAGATGGCTGGGTCTGAGATATATACCAAGTTAGCCATGTCTACATTAAGGCTGGAGGAGAAAAGTCACAGGTTAGACAGGAAGCAGTTTCAGACAACAACAAAGTAAACAAACAACTAAAAAGCTTCATGAAAATGAAAGTTTAAAGGTAACTTACCTGCTCTGACTGATAGGAGACAGGGGGTGGTGGTCCAGAAGGGGTGTACTCTCCGAGTGTGGGGGTCCCAGGAGTGTTGGGGAAATCCGTGAATCCTGATTGGCTGGAGAACCCTTGGCAAAAGCAGAACGATGATTATCACTCAGCAAATACAATCAGAAATGTGTAAAAGTGACCTGAGGCAGCTAGAGAGAGGAAATATGGATGTTGTGGTTCTGCTGGACCTGAGATGGCAGAAGCTACAAACACTGATGTGGATCGGTCTGTAGCTCAAGTACTTCTGAAGGAAACTTGATTGTTAACACACCAAAAATAGCCATTAGTACAGAATTAAATTTATAGCATTTATATATGAAGCTGGGTCTACTGGTCTGTATAATGTAAACATTTAAAACCATTAGAAGTAGTTAAACAGTTACGTTTTTAATAACAACCGGGATGTCATTTCCCACAGGCTGAATCGCTGCTTTAATTTACCACTAAACCATGCACAGGTGTTGCTGTTAATTAAAAGCTTTGATAAGTGTCCATCTGCAAAACAACAGGACAGAGTGGACATGTTGAGGGAAACCAGTCCTCCATGGCAGCTCACTACGCAGCTAATCGCTCACATTTATACACTCATGTGTGTTTTGATATCTCCTGTCTTACCTGTCCTGCTGTAGTCGGGTGTGTTCCTGCCTCCCCCGGTCAGACTCTGGTAGGGAGACGACGTTGGGCCCAGAGCCGCGATCATTTCCATCACATTGGGCAGGACCATGTGACTTGGGCTGACTGTGCGGCAACGTTTCAGGACCGGACCATCAGGCTCTTCCTTTATGTGAATGTCAGGCTTGACGGGTACTGGCCTCCAGCCGCACACCGGGTCTATGGTGATCTCCTCATAGTCAGAACTGAGGGAGAAGCAAGCGCAGATCTGGGCTGTAACATAATTTCCTGTAAAGATCTCAACTCGTGATGGAGATAGTAGGTATGAGTGTCGTGGAAGAAGATGTCAGTAAAATACACACACTCTCAGCATGTTATGATCTAGCCTTGATAATTCTGGCCACTGATTTAAATATTTAGATATAAGAACTAAACTCACTTCTGGATGTAGACAAGGATCCCGAGCATGTACTGGTCCACCTCCAGGCCTTCTAGCAAAGCTGTTTTGCTGTAAACAAGAGGAGCAAAAGCCTGGTTGATTTCCTGGATTTGATCCCAAAGCTGAGTTCATGTTGTCATACTTACTTGCACACAGGACATCTCCACGTCCCTCTTTCACAGTTCAACTGCAGGTAGGACTCCAGGTCAAAACACTACAAAATAAATGTACAAAGCTGCATCAGTCTACGTACGTAGAGCAGGTAGCAGAGCACAGGTACGACCTCACCTGTATGTGCCTACAGTCATGACCTCGGGCTGGCAGCTGGATCCGCCTGAACGTAATCGGGCATTTGAGGGACACTTTGATCGCCGTCTGCTCCACCCCATCCTCTCCGTTCAGGCCCGGCGTTCCAGGGATTGTCCCGCTGCTGAAATTTCTCTTTACTGAAACAAAAACACAGACTTTCAGGTGATCTGAAAACGTACTCAGCTTTGAGTCAATGGACATCTCTAACTGGAGGGAGCTCAATAAAATCACCGTTTGTATTCTGCAGTAAGATCTCAGATGTTATGTAGGGTTCAAATGAATCAGATCACACAAACTTAGGTCCACTTGTGTGTCGATTAAAAAAAAACATGATTTCATATCATAAGACGCAGCTTTTTCTACTAATCTAAAACACACACAGAGGTGAAGTTTTAACATACATTTCTATCCCTTGTTTTCTCTGAGATCCTTCTCAATAGTCTGGACTGTGACACAAAGTTAAACAGCTTGCAGCGACTCGTTAGATTTCATTTATTTTCAATTCCTTGTTTCTTGTGTCTTTGCTCTGTTTCTACAATGCAGACATATAGAAATAAAACAGATGCAGGTCATCTTGCGAAAGTGTGGGCTCACTCTTGGTGATGCAGTGCTCGGCCGGCAGCAGCCTCTTTTTCATCAAACCCTGCAGGACAGACCTGACAGAGGGCCGGTGCACCAACTGCAGCACAAACAGGTGAGACTGGAAAGACACAGACAGGAGGGAAAACGAGTTTAGATCCACACAGCTACTGTAATAGGTGAGGTGTCCTGCTGGGACTGAGTCAGTATAGCGTTGTCAGGAGGTAGCTTACACAGCAGCACGCTGTCACAGTGATCTGCACCGTGTTGCGTCCTGGCTGACACACTTGCTTTAGGTACAGAGGTTTGTGAGAGGTCTTGTTGTCGCCTCTTTCAATGGACAGAGGAGTCGCGTTAACACTGACCTAAGACACAAACAAACAAACATCAGATTATGCTTTATTTTCCCTTAAAAAGGCATAAAATGCGACCTTTTCATATTCTAAAATCATTTTCTTTAGCCAGTATGTGCAAAAACAACCCTTTACAGTTTAATGAAATGTAACTCAGATGTTTTAGACAGACTCGTGAGGGGGAAAAGATACACCGTTTATCAAAATAAAAATGACGCTTGTAGCATTGTTCCACATCTTCCAAAAGAAGCAGCATCAGAGCCACAGGATACTTACCTGCACTGAGGCGGGCCAGTTCGTGTTCATCTGTCTGTCTTCATGGTGGTAACATTTAAATTGCAGCTCCAAATCTGGTCTGCAGGGGGAGACACATAACAGCTGTAAGGGAGCATCTGGGTGGGGTTATCAACCATCCTCGTGTTTTATCAAGGACTTTAAATGACTGAAAGAAAGGAAGGTCTGATTTACACAGAGGGCAGATGTCATGTTACATTTATTTTTGATCTCTGATAAAATCATTAAGTATTTCCTTCAAATTAATGTGGTAGAGGTGCAAGAACAAACAGGAAGTTTCAGTAAATGACAGGGTGAGGAAAATTTAAAACATGTGACTTTAAATGTGACTGATTTCTGCAGATCTGGATGTTCTATGTCCATGTCCTCTAAGAATACTAACAAAACATCTCATGAGATGCGTTTCCGAAGAAACAAATTTCTTATTGACTGGTTGAATTCACGAATGAGAAACATCCTGTCACATGACAAGAGAAAACCTCATGAACAGCACAGATAAAGTCGGATACATTTACTTTGCTGTCCTCTCACAGAAGACAAGTCTGCTAAGACTGACCCAGTCTCACCTCATTATTAGTGTCTTGTAGACTGACTCTCGCAGTTGGAAGGCATGGTTACTGACAGCCAGGTTGTGCTCCAGTCTGAACGGCTCCAACACGACGCCGTCTCGTACCGGGAACGTCAGACGCAGATCATCACTGGGATTACCTGGAAAGGAAACAATGTCTCTGTGTTGCAATCTTTCATGGTTCAATCGCTGAAAACTTCAGACAGAAATAGCTAGTGTTCAAGACTCAGAGTCTCAGTCAAACGATTTATATAGACCAAGCTAGAAAATCAAACTTATTCATTAGTTTAATTTTTTTTAAATCAACACCTTGAGATCAGATCTAGCAAAGCTCAGAGAAACCACAACAACCACAAGTCACTTCTCATACTGAGGACTGCATCTGAACACACCACAAGACCAAAGATGATGCAGGTTTGCTCCAACAGCATTTCAGCACTAACAGCCCACACCAACATTCACCACAGTGGTGGACGGCTGAAAGTTTGGGCTAATTTAGCAGCCACTGTACCTTGGACCTCATGTATGAAGTGTGCATTTAGAGGAAAACCTTGAATATGCTCTTGTCCATATTAAATTCAGGCATATTGGAGCTTTTTTAAATGAATGATGAAAGATAAATGCCCTGCACGTGTATAGCACCTTTTTAGAGCAAGAGAACTCCAAATTGCTTTACACTACAGTGTATCATTCATCCATTCACACACACACACATTCACAGACTGGTGGCGATGAGCTACAATGTAACCACAGCTGCCCTGGGACACACTGACAGAGGCGAGGCTGCTGAGCACAGGCGCCCCCTGTCTCTCCGACCACCACCAGCATGCAAGGTGGGTTAAGTGTCTTGCCCAAGGACACAACAGCAGAATTCTCTGTCTGGAGCCAGGATCAAACCTGCAACCTTTCAATTACTGAACAACCCGTTCAACCTGTTGAGCTACTGCTGCCCCTCAGACTTCCTGGTTTTTGCCAGTTAAACTACAGTTTCAGAGCTTTCCAACATGGCCACGAGTGTCTATGTGTTTACTGTAGTTGAGCAAGTTAACTTGTGTGAAATGCCTCAGCCTCTCCCTGGACTAATTTGGTATTTAGTTACAGTAATATTCTGTGTAAAGTGCTGTATAACATCAACAGATGAGTGTCTGATAACATATTTGTTAAGTCTACTGTGAATCTGCACTGCTCTCACAACACTGAAGACAGCCTGCCAAACACAACTCGGGTTTTATGAAGTTTCTCTCCATTCCAGCGATTTTTGATTGTGCAGAGAGGAGAATCCCGCATGCAGGACATATCTGCATAGAGTGTCATGTGCACCCAAATCCACTGTGTGTGTTTAGGATGAACTAAAAAGATGTAGTTTGGATTCCTGTGGTTTTCTTCATTAAAGCATACACAATTGTAACCCTAACACTTTTAGTAGGGAATACACAAACGTCTTACACATGAGGTCCGTGAGTGCTTTACAGTCATTAAATTGACCATGAACTCCACTGTGGACCAAAGTATCCAGCAGTCAAATATCAGGCCGTCTGTCTGACAGCTGATGCTTGGACCAAACTGGGTCACAAAACAGGACAACGGTTCTAAACACAGCAGCAAAATCAAAATTCAGGGCGTTTCACATTTCCTGTCAATATCCAGGTTTCAACCTGACTAAAAGGTTGTGGTGGGACCTCAAGAGAGCTGAGCAGAGAGAAATATTTGCAAATGTCAGTGAACCGAAGCATCAACATAGAGAAAAATGGATTAAAATCCACCTAAAACTGTGTGAAGGACTACGAACGAATGTTCCACTCCAATAATTAACTTGTTACATAATCAATATGTATTGATGTTCATCTGAGTATACCCAATGTTCAAATGCAGTGGGAATCACATTATTGTTCCCATTTTGTGCTTTTACTGTTTAAAGCTACAATGGCAAATTTGGAAAACAAACTAACAAAAGCATAGCTATACTGTAAATATATTGTGAAGTAAAAAAAAAAATACAAAAAAAAAATTATGTGGTTCTCTAGTGTTTGTCTAAAAACCTCCACCAATAACACATGTAATTCATTCATTCATTTAAAGAGCACCTTCCACAACCATAGCAGAAGCCCAAGGTGCTGAACACAACAACAAAAAAAAACCCAATCACAATAATAAATATAATAAAAGATGAAAAAATAAGAACCCCCCCCCAGCACACACACACACACACACACACACACACACACACTGAAAACAGCATAAAAACAAAGTCAAAACTGCAAACACACCACCTCCCCTTGATCTGCACCTGGAGCGAGGGACCACCAACAACTCCTGGTCAGCAGAATGAAAAAAGTGGGTGGGGACAGGTCTATGAAGTAAAGCTGAAGAGTCGTGTAGAGCCCTATAAGCAAGCATCAGCATTTTAAACTTTATTCTGTACTGCATGGGAAGCCAGTAGAGTTCCGCCAACATCAGACCGAATGCAACTATTGGACCATCCGGTTGTCAGTCTAGCTGAACCGTCGCACTTCAAAACTCTGTTCTGAAGTGTAACATCTGGCCACTCTCTGTAGCCAGATTTCTGACAGGGACGAGAAAGTCTGCACATATCACTCCTGTGCTGGCCTCATTACATTGGCTCCCTGTAGATTTCTGGGCAAAGTTTAAAGTTATGTACTATGTCTTCTGGTCTCTTTATGGTGGTGCTCCACCATACTTGGCAGCATTAATAAAAAGACACACCATCACGAACCCTTCGCTCGGCTGACCTAGTCCCACAGACTAGGTACAGGTCTAGAGGAGAACCGGCTTTCTCAGTCTTGGCTCCTTCTCTCTGGAAAGAGCTCCCACTTGATATTAAACTGTCACCATCACTGCAGGTTTTTAAGAGTTGTTTTATGACTAATTTTTATCGTTTGGCTTTTATGTGACTTGGTTTTATGCTGCTTTTACACTTTGTATGTTGCTTTTATCCCCTTTTTATTGATCTTCATGTTTTGAGTGTAGTTTATGTTCAGCGCCTTGGGCTCCCGCAAAGGCAGTGGGAGGCGCTATATAAATAAAGACTTGATTGATTGATTGACTTTTCTGGGTCATCCATTCATTACACTTGTGTACAGGTGCTGGCCAGTAAATTAGAATATCATCAAAAGGTTGAAAATATTTCAGTAATTCCATTCAAAACGTGAAACTTGTACATTATATTCATGCAATGCACACAGACCAATGTATTTCCAATGTTCATTACATTTAAATTTGATATTTATAGGTGACAACCAATGAAAACATCAAATCTGGTATCTCAGACAATTAGAATATTCTAAAGGCCAATGAAAAAATGTTTGTTTCTCTAATGTTGGCCAACTGAAAAGAATGAACATGAAAAGAATGTGCATGTATAGCACTCAATACTTAGTCGGGGCTCCTTTTGCCTCAATAACTGCAGTAATGCGGCGTGGCATGGACTCGATCAGTCTGTGGCACTGCTCAGGTGTTATGAGAGCCCAGGTTGCTCTGATAGTCGTCTTCAGCTCCTCTGCATTGTTGGGTCTAGCGTATTGCATCCTCCGCTTCACAATACCCCATAGATTTTCTATGGGGTTAAGGTCAGGCGAGTTTGCTGGCCAATCAAGGACAGGGATACCATGGTCCTTGAACCAGGTGCTGGTGGTTTTGGCACTGTGTGCAGGTGCCAAGTCCTGTTGAAAGGTGAAGTCTGCATCCCCATAAAGTTGGTCAGCAGCAGGAAGCATGAAGTGCTCTAAAACTTCCTGGTAGACGGCTGCATTGACCCTGGACCTCAGGAAACAGAGTGGGCCAACACCGGCAGATGACATGGCACCCCACACCATCACTGACGGTGGAAACTTTACACTGGACCTCATGCAACGTGGATTCTGTGCTTCTCCGCTCTTCCTCCAGACTCTGGGTCCTTGATTTCCAAAGGAAATGCAGAACTTGCTTTCATCAGAAAACATAACTTTGGACCACTCAGCATCAGTCCAGTCCTTTTTGTCCTTGGCCCAGGCGAGACGCTTCTTGCGCTGTTTCTTGTTCAAGAGTGGCTTGACACACGGAATGCGACACCTGAATCCCATGTCTTTCATGAGTTTCCTCGTGGTGGTTCTTGAAGCGCTGACTCCAGCTGCAGTCCACTCTTTGTGGATCTCCCCCACATTTTTGAATGGGTTTGTCGTCACAATTCTCTGCAGGGTGCGGTTATCCCTAGAGCTTGTACACTTTTTTCTACCACATTTTTTCCGTCCCTTCGCCTGTCTGTTAATGTGCTTGGACACAGAGCTCTGCGAACAGCCAGCTTCTTTAGCAATCACCTTTTGTGTCTTGCCCTCCTTGTGCAAGGTGTCAATGATTGTCTTTTGGACAGCTGTTAAGTCAGAAGTCTTCCCCATGATTGTGGTGCCTTCAAAACAAGACTGAGGGACCTTTTAAAGGCCTTTGCAGGTGTTTTGAGTAAATCAGCTGATTAGAGTGGCAGCAGGTGTCTTCTATATTCAGCCTTTTCAGAATATTCTAATTTTTTGAGATACCAAATTTGGAGTTTTCATTAGTTGTCACTTATGAATATCAAATTTAAATGTAATGAACATTGGAAATACATTGGTCTGTGTGCATTGCATGAATATAATGTACAAGTTTCACGTTTTGAATGGAATTACTGAAATATTTTCAACCTTTTGATGATATTCTAATTTACTGGCCAGCACCTGTATTTAGCAGCAGAACACCACGGGTGTGAGAGGTTCTCCACTCAATAATATTAGAGAAGGAGAAACAGCCGGCTGCTACCACTTCACAACTTTAGGACAAACTACCAGAGTTCCAAAAAAAAATAAAAACCCCATTTGAAGTCATGGACAACAAAAGACGTTTGATCCTATAAAACAGCAATTGTTGTTTAGCACTTTTTCATTTCTTCTGGCAATGAGGGTTTTTGGTTCTAGCAGAAGCATTTCAGAGAAGATCACCAAGGGGAGGGGTGACTGTTCCATGACCGTGTTTGCATTCAAAAGCTAGATTGTTTGCAGATTCACTATAACAGCTTTAAAGCAAGAATCAAGTGTGACCATACTGAGTTGATTGAATCTCACCCGTTGGAGGCTGCTGGTTGCTGATGTTGGGTTTGGTATCCAGTGGAATGTAGGGTGGCTTAGTATCCTGACCTGGGGACAAGTAGGGGGGAATGGAGCTGCCAGGGGTCATGGGCGGTGTGGGATTCCCTCCCATTGGTGAGGTGGGATACCCCGGCATCACTCCACCTCTACCTGGCTGAAAAACAAGGACAAAAAAGGATATTCAGACAATTTTTTTAACTTGTTTATTTTTCAGTTAAACTTCGTCTTATGGGTTATCAGGTGAGTCTTTCCAGCACCTACCCCGTTCACCGCAGCCTGCGTGAAGGCATTGTATCCCCCAGGTGCTGCGGAAGGCAGACTGCCCTGACCATTGAAAGGCTCAGACTAACGGTCACAAACAAGAAACAAGACTCAGAATTATTCATCAACCTTCACTCATGGACTATAAAGTTCAGAACTGATGCTGAAAAATAACCCTCATGTTCACCAGGGGCGGATTTAGGACTGAAGAAGATCCGGGGCTTAGCACGTCGGGGCTTAAGACACGTGCACGCACGCACGCACGCACGCACGCACGCACGTGCACACACACACACACACACACACACACACACACACACACACACACACACACACACACACACACACACACACACACACACACACACACACACGTAACACGCACTAGTCTTTTCATAAAACATTCGGGGCTTGAGCCCAAGTAGCCGGGCCTAACGCCGCCCCTAAAGTTCACAATTCCCAAGATATGGCTACCTGTTTTTCCTTTAAGGTTTAAAGTTAGCATCGGCTCTACTTACAATAGTCTCACCTGGGTTAATACTGAAGTATCAATGCTCCTGTGAACATACCGACAGCCCTCCAGCAGTTCATTTCCCTTTAGATAATTGTATAATCTGCTCAGTGAATTTATATTTTTGCTTTTCAAAACCTATTTTGAAACCCTAATATGTTATTTTGAAAAGTCTGCTTTAATTGCATCATTCACTCCTTTAATTATTTATTTTAAATAGCCAAAAGTTGTTATTTTACAGGTTTATTTCACACAAAAAGGCTCTCCATACTAATCTAGCAGCAATCTGACAGTCGTGGTTTTGATCACCTTATAATACTGTGGAGGGTTGGGCTGGCCAGCACCAGGAGGGAACTGAGCTGGGTTGTGTGACCCAGAGGTGTACTGTCCCATGTGGGGCATCCGACTGGAAGGGTAAGAGGGTGACGGGGCACATCTCTGCTGAGGGTTGGTAGGGTACTGCAGAGGTTGGCTGGAGAAGGCAGGCATCCCTCCAGAACTGTACTGTTGCCCTGGAAAACCCTGGAACCGAGATGGGGGGACGTTAAAGATCCAAGCATGTTTAATGTTAAAATCCAGAACTCTTCTACTCTCACTTAACAACAAAACATCAGTGGGAAGAAAGTATTACACTGACGAGTGAAAGTAGACCTGCATTTAGAGTTGTGAGAAAACAAAGCAGTGCCAACAACCTCAGAATGAAATGGCCGTTTGAGGCCCTGTTGTCCGGCTGGATATCCTCCGTGCTGAGGCATCCTCTGAGCCTGCGCAGGGTGAGATGAATACATGCCTCCTGTGGAAGGTGGAGGTCCAGGTCTGGAGGGGACCATCCCACCGGGGTTCATCCCTGGGGGGCCCCGAGGGCCTGAATGAGATAAAAACTGGGTGCCGTATGACGATGCTCCTCCCATCTGGAAAAGGAAAACAAGATTAGTCGGAACAAAGCCCACTGGTGTTTTTCCACAGCCTGGATGGATCATAGAGAACAGGTCACAGAGTCAGAGATAAAATGTTACAGAAAACACCTTCTTTATCTCCAAGGTAGCAGTAGCAAAAGGATTATGCAAACTTCTTTCTGCAAAAATTACTCATCAGCACTTCTGCAAATGATAGATTTTGTTTCAGAGTCAGAGGTTGTCAGAATGCTGCACATGTGCAAAATACAAACGTGGCCCAAAGTTCTGAGAGACACTAGAGTTGGTTTTACCAAGTTTGCTGCTTCAGTGTTTTAAAATCTTTTGTGAGATGTTTTAATGGTTCCTGAAGAAGAATTCTAAGCATTTTATACTTTCCAAAGACTTACTGAAAAATATGTTCACATAAAGACTGATTGCTGGCTCTTGTTTACAAGTTTCCAGCCTTTTTCTAGCAACAGTACAGATGACATTATTCTAGATCTGATCAAAGATTAGCCGGTAGTAAATGGCCCATGCATGAATAACACAAGCAGCTGTATCTTTGTTGTTTAGAGGGTAATCTTCATTTAAACTAATAAATAAATAAATAAATAAATAAATAAATAAATAAATAAATAAATAAACAAACAAACAAACAAACAAACAAACAAACAGAAATCTAGGTTCTGTAATTCAATTTTTTCCAGCTGGATCAGCTTTCCTTTACAAGAATGACAGTTTGCTTAGCAGTGACTCATTATTGAGATTTGTAGTTTAAATACCGGCCCGAGAGCGCAGTATCAAACGCTGCCATTTCTCTGCTGTTCATAAGAAGCATGTGCCATAAATCTGGGTGAGCAGCAGGGAAGCAGCTTCTGATATGCAGCCCTCCCACAGCCCTGCAGCTAAACATCACAGGAACAAACCAGGGCCAAAATCCACACTGTGGGAAACTCTCAATAAATGCTTTAAACTTTTTAAATTGTAAAGTGTGTGTCCTTTCTCTTTTGAGTAAATATGAGTTTTCTGAGACTGTTACCTGACTGTAGCTCAGCTCCTGGTTTTGTTTTTCTTGTATTGCTGCAACAGTTGCAGTGGCTGTGGCAGTCGCTGTGGCAGCAGCGGCTGCAACGGCAGCAGCGGCAGCCTGGGTGAAGTCTGACGGAGGGCGAACACCAATACCGGCACTTCCACTGTTACCAGAGTAACTGCAGAGAGAGGGAAAGATGTGGAGATGAGTGGGCAGCAAACTTGGTCAGCAGTGTGTGCGAGTGTGCAAGGTGTCCTCACGACTGTGAGTCACAGCAGTGGGTGACAGCAGCAAAGATGACATATGCTTATGCAGAACCCCACAGCAGTGACACATGTGGTAATGACATGCTAAAAAACAGCAGAGGCTACACAAAAATGCTCTAAACGGCATCAATAATAAATTAATTTGCTTTGTATAATGAGCTAAAAGAGCAGCAAAGTGCCACTTAAATATCACCAGTGGCTGCAAAGTACTCTGGTGGTGTTTACAGAGCAAGGTCACACACTTGTTTTAACAAGACCTTCAATGTTAGAACTACTCAGATCATGCATTTGAAGAAGGACTTTGTCACACTTGCTGCAATTATCTCCCTTTTCTCACAGAAGAGTGATAGGATTTGATGACATCTCTTCTCCTGATCATAGTTTGAAACCAGGTCAAGCAGCTCTTTCCACTGATACAGCTCTCTAGCACAGATCAAGGCTGACGTCCTTGTGTTTGTGATAAGCTCTGTCAACTTGAATAAATTCATTCTCCAACTACCTGCAGACACACTAAAGTGGATCTCTGCCCGTGGTTACTTTGATCAAATGTCTAAAAATCCTCCTTGTTTTAGGACTTCTACCAAAACTTCAGGAGCGTTATCAAACTAAAGAGAAAGCTTCTCCCAGTCCGAGTTGATTGTAAATGAGTGATGGCAACCAGGGACACGAGGGTGTCTGTAAGGGGCGTTTCTAAATTAGGAACCATTTCCACGAACCAGGGTGCTGTTCTGAAGGCCATTCCTTACCTCGATTGGAAGTTTTCCACCACTCAGCGCGGCTCGCCTCTACACAGATTGGGTGTTTTTCCATTAAAACTGAGAGAAATGGCTCTAGTAGGTGGGCAGGCTATAGCAGGGCGGTGGCCCAACACAAACATAAAAAGTTTTGATTTAAGCTTATGGATAGTGCAGAACTTAATGGAAACACAACAAACATGACTTAACAGAAATGTTCATGATGCAGAGTAAATTAGTATCTGTGTAAATAAGGTTCTGAGTTAAAAATAAAACATTGTAAAGTGGCAGTGTGAAGTTTCCTGGCACTAGGGGGCAGTACACACATTTCAGGGTAGTTTTACACCATATCGCCTGACTGTCACCAATTTAAAATGTCCATCCATGAAGAGAATGCAATGCTGAGGCTAGCCAAAATATATTTTTTATAATTATATCTTTTTCGATTCCGTTCGTTCACAAGTTTTGGAAAGAGTTTAGCAGTTTTGATATTAAATTAATGTTTCTTACTGCCTAAATGTTTTTGAACGTGGTAATGTAACTTCCGTGGATCATACGTGCAGCCAATCACCTAATGTGACGTCATAAGCAGGTGCAGGACCCCGAGCCGGAAAGGAAATACATGGCATCTAATATGGAGAACCCCAGAGACTTAGACTCGCACCCTGTGTACTTTTGACCCAATTTTTATGGTTGTATGGTACGTCGCCGCCAATATTTTTTAAAGACTGGACAAAATTTCATTTCTTTTCAACATTTTGATGGATATTTACAGAGAATAACAGTAAAAACTACACATTGTCTCTAAGAATAATTTTACACTTTTATTATAATTATAGGCTGGCTGTACAGTGGTGCAGTGGTTATGGCTGTTGACTTGCAACAAGAAGGTCCTGGGTTCACACCCCGGCCATGGGTCTTTCTGCATGGAGTTTGCATGCTCTCCCTGTGCATGCGTGGGTTCTCTCAGAGTGCTCTGGCCGTTCAGACAGCAAAAAAAGAGGTTAGACTGACAGTTTTTGTTATGTGGCTACATGTTGGCTCAACTCTGACATGATACATTTATTCAAATGTTTTCTTCTTACAATAACAGATTCCACTAAATGGCTATCATTTGGCTTAATAAAAACCACACACAGAGAAAAAATGGGACTTGGAAGAAAGTCAGGAAAAAAGATCAGAGAAAACAAATAATCAAAGAAAACTGACAGCAACACTGACAAGCTTATGGAACGAGCTTTCAAACTGAATTAATGCTAGCTCTCTGTTGTTCTACCTCAGGGAATCTGTAAGAAAGCTGTGCAACTTTCAATTAAAGGTGTGTTTAGAGATAAAGGCTGACAAGTAAGCAGCAGCCCTAAAGAATGCTAGCCTAATCAGATATTCATTATTCAGTCTGTCTGCGTCTTTAAAACCACTCAAAAGAAATCCTGTCTTTCAAGAACTTGAGCTTCATTTGTCAATAATAATGACACCACAGTTAAAAGCTACCGTTTTACCGTTATGCATTACAGCTTTTCACATCTACATTAATTCTCTCAGTAGTTGTGCCTGCTGATATTATCCGTTTCACACTTTGTGTTAATCTTACTCCGTTTTGTCTCAAGTCATGACACTGAATAGAAAACCAAACCAGGGTTCCTGTCTAATTACTTATAAGACAATAAAACATGTTTTATATATTTCTTAAACATCTTTGATTATTACATTAAGGAATGTCCTGATATATCAGATCTGGTCCCAACTGAGGTACTTTTCATTGATCGGTATGAGATTGGTATGGCAGCAATCAGCTCCTGCTCTTTATGCTTCTATAGCTGTTTTTACAGGGCTATAGCGTTTGCAAAACGGGATTTGCCGCAGCTCCCTGGGGAGGATAAAGGTCGTTTATAAGATCAGACCGTGGCGGTAATGTGGTGCAATCGTGGCAATTTTGTAAAAGATTAGGTGATGGGGGCATAAAGGGATTATGGGGGCGGTCTCTGCGCTGCCGCAGACTTCCGTTTATCTTGGGCATAACTAGCATTTTATTGCGATTGAAGCCGTGATTGTTAAGTTTTTTTTAACAAGCAGCTCCCAAAGGTGTCTGTCCCCATCAGTCCCTGTGCAGTCTCTGGTGATCTGAGCTTCAGCTCTAACAGAGAGGCTCATGGAGCGCTGTGGCGCTCCAGTTTGCCATCACAGCTGATTTTGTTCAAGAAGCAAACCTTATTGCCTATGTTTACTTTCATTTTCAATAAATTTGCCAGCCGGAGCGCAACAATAACTCCCCACGTCATCATGACATCTGCCTCTGTTGCGCCAGGGTGCATACGACAGACCATTACCGCAATATTACTACCAAGCGAGGCGAAACGAATGCCGCAAAATTCGAGCAACGCCATGCCGGCATGGTGTGTTTATAGATATACCATTGTGGTAATATTACACCGATTTGCCAGCATGGTGTGTCTTATAAAAGAGGCTTATGTGAATTGTGCTGTAATTATCTTTGCCGGGCTGTGTTGCCTTCATCAAGAGCGGGAGGGGGTGCTCAAGGAGACCAACAACTAATGACAGGAGTTGTGAGCCTTCTTAGTTTTAGCTTTAATTTGATGCAAAATATCTTGCTTTAGTGGGCTGCACTGTGGCAGAGTTGGTGGCACAGTTGCATGGCAGCGAGAAGGTTGCAGGCTCAAGTGTCGGCTGCAGCCTTTCTGTGTGGACTTGGCATGTTCTCCTCATGCATGAGTGGGTTTTCTCCAGGTACTCCTGTTTCCACCCACAGACCAAAACCATGCATGTCAGGTTAACAGATAACTGTCTCCAGGTCTGAGTTGAGTGAATGACAGGCTTTTTGTCAAAGTGTTTCCCTGTAATGGACTGTAGACCTGTCCAGGGTGTCCCCCTCCTCCTGCTGCACCAGCTCTCCATGACCATACTGAGGGATAGGCAGATAAGAGATCGATGGATATTTTGATTCAGATTGAATATTAATTTCAATTGGCAGTGAAATAACACAAGCTCATTGTCTCATCTTGCTGCAGTTTCTGGTGATTTGGTCAAAGTGGATCAGCGCTGCCTCACAGTCACTCTTTTCAAAGGAATTAATTAACACCTTCTGAGAATAGTTTATAGTGATTTTTGTCTCTTTTAAAATCACCAGCTAATGCTGATACAACCTGGTCATGAGTAAAACCTGCTTGTGGAGGTGTTTAACAAATACTGATAGGAGATTAATAAACAGAATTCACAAGCAATGGCTGCTTTAAAAACACAATATATAAATCCGACTGCTGATGTATTATTTAGGCATCTGTTTGCAGGAATAACAAAACAAACCCCAGGATCTGTGTTGATGAGCTGTCCGTCTTCCTGCACTGTGATCCTCTACAGAAACTCACCTTCTTGGATATTTTTTCTTTAACCCTTACCTCACATTAAAGCATTTATTTGTGCTGACACATGTATTTTTGTGAATAACTTTGGCTATGTTAATGCAATTTATCTAATTTTTATGGAGGATGTGTATTTTGGAAGGAATTACAAAAAAAAGTTTGAAAAAATATTCAACCTACTTTATTAAAACATGGAAATCATTTAGTACAGTTAAGCATATTTAAGCATTTTTTGTGCCATAGACGTTCATGTAAATCATATTTTTCTAATTAGCATAAATATTGGCATAACTTTAAAAAATTTTTATTCTGTCTGTGTTCCCAGACCAGTAACACATTCAATGTTTAGTTTTTACCGTTTTCCAATAGATGGCATATTTTCTCCATATATAGCAGGGCAATGACTGACACTGCATTTGAATTGAATGATTCTGCTGTATTTCTTTACCTCTGACTGTCCATTATAATATAGATTTTGCAAAAAAATGGTTTGTGTGTTATTTAGAGATTCCATACAATAGTTTGCATGTGTGTATTCTGAATTTTTGGTAATTGTGTTTTTACAGTGTGCATTAAAAAAATAAGCCGTTACTGAAAGTAGAAAATCTGCTCATTCTCAAAATGGCATTTTGACATGTGTCACTCTGTGTGTGTTTGTGCAGGCATGCATGCATGCAGGGATCAAAGCATTTTACAAATCTTCAAAAGACAGATCCGTGATCATTATTTAGAGTGGTTGTGCAGGTGTTGGCAAGGGGAGTATGTGTGTGTGTGTGTGTGTGTGTGTGGGGGGGGGGGGGGGGATACAAAAGATGGATAAAGGAAGCCATAGAGATAAGGAGACGTGGATGCGGGACCATGAACAGAGACGATGGGGTCTACAAATTGGATTGCGCATGGGACCGCATCATCGGAGAGGGGAGAGTGGGAAGCAGAGGGCGACAACGTCCTCTGCTGCCCGTGGATAAACGGAGTAGGAAGTGACGCCACCATCAGCGTCAGCTCTGAGGAAGTTCACAGCCATGAACAAAACTGTGAGCAGCAAGGTAAAAAATAAACCTTTTCTGTGCTTTAAAAAGGAACCAACAACACAGTTAGAAAAGCAACACAGTAAGAACATACCAAAGAAGATACGCAACACCTTCAGTATTAGATACAACATTCAATGTTTTTCACTCTTCATTCAGACATACCTGTTAACTCATTCACTGCCATTGACGACAAAAGTCTTCATTTTAAGTCCTGCCATTCACTGCCAATGTGAATGTCTGCATTTTTTTTACTGTGTGGGCGTCGGAAGGAGCCCCCACACCGTGAGAACAAATATCCCAGCTCTAAAACCAATCTTCATCCACATACGTCACGTGATCAGGAAGCAGAAAATCCATGTGTTAGGAGATCGTTTTGGGCCGCTGCTGTAATAAAAGTGAGGCACGAACCGGAAAAGCTTCTGTCGATCACAATTCGACAACGGATTATGAAAGAACGGATAATGCTCGAAACGCGCGGATTCTTCCTGATGTAAGAGGTGAGTTTTCTCTTTGTTTTGGTAGTTTTGGTGATGACATCACCCTAGCGCTGTACGTTCTGTGACTCTTAAAAAACTGTGAAAATGTTGAAAAACGCTGGGAGCGAAGAGCTTTTCTGATCAGGAAACGGCTGGCGGTGAATGAGTTAAAGAAGGAGCCAGCGTGTGCATCCAACGTCTAATATTCCTGCAACATTTGGTGCGTAAATCAAGTGACGAAAGTCTTTCCAGTCACAGGTATCTCATAACGTCACATGACAATAACTACTCCGATCAGAACAGGGTCATTGAAAGCACAGTAGCAGTAGAAGGAAACAGATGTGAATCTGTTCTCTGTTTAAACCAGCCAACAAAAAAACCCGTTAACCTGTGGACACCATCCACCCTCTATCTAGACTGTCGTCAAGAGTTAGAGGTGTAGATTTATAATTGAACCCTCCCACTGTCCTAATGGGTGTGACCAGTGGCGGCTGGCCAGTAGAGGGCGATAGGGCGCCGCCCTCCCAGTTTTTCCGTGTTTTTAATTTTTATTTAAAAAAAATAAATAAATAAAATTAACAATAATCACATATTCTAAGTTAACTGTGTGTTTTGATATATATATATATATATATCTATATTGGTCTCTGCCGGTCTCTGCCGAGCGGTGGAGGCTGTGTGCTGTTTTTCAATCGCCCAAACAGGACGAGACCAGCTGTCCAATTGCTGACAAGAATATCAAAGGGTAGGAATGGGAATGTATCCAATCAGCGTCGACGTTGTTTCAGAACGTTTCAGAAGCATGATGGGCGATGGAGCTACCGCCAAAGGTTTCGTTGGTATTCGGTAGAACTCGGCAGAACTCGGCAGAGTCGTTTTTGGTCGTGACGCAGATGTAACATGGACGCCGCCGGTGACTACAACCAGCATGGATACCGGATCTCAGCAGCCACTGAATTCAGTTCAGTCCCTTCTCCAGTATCCGTTCGAGAGGAGAACTATGGTGGAAAAACTTAATGTCAAAGAGCTTGGACCAGATCAGCCCGACGTAAAGATAAGCCAGCAGGAGAAGGAGAGAGGTAAACTGTACACACAACGCTTCTCCCAAAATTGGTACACCAGGAAGCAGTGGCTAGCTGGATGCAATCACGCTAATGCGTTATTTTGCTTTCCGTGTTTGTTATTCAAAACGGCTGGGACAGATAAGGCATGGATGAGCCAGGAGTTACAGACATGAAACATTTTTCTGAGAAGGTGAAGAAACACGAGTCATCCCGGGCACACATGGACAACAACACGGTGAAGCTAGCCATGCTAGGCAGCAGAGCTAACGTTGCCATGCAGGGAACAACAGCAGCTGGGTGCAGAGGTAAGCTGTACATTACATTTCTGTGAACAAGACAATCAGAATCAGAAATCCTTGGTTGTCCCACAAACCGGGACATTTGTTTAATAACATGTTTAATGTGCAATAACTGTAAAAACTAATTTCAACACACATACTTATTATACATATTTAATCACGTAAATGTGTATTTCATGTAAATTTGTACATACATCAATCTGATTCCATTTTACTTGTTACACTTCTGCTGCAGCAAACAAATTTCCCAGCTTTTGGGACAATAAAACATTTCTGATTCTCAATCAGATGTTTTTACCTCAAATGTAAAAACATCTGATTGAGAATCAGAAATGTTTTATTGTCCCAAAAACTGGGAAATATGACATTTGTAAGAGGATACTGATGACATTATTTCCAATGAAAGTGTTTCCTATGTACTTATCTGTTGTTTTTTATTTATCATATGACAGGTTTTTCACACCATCCTGAGCCATGCAAAAGAAGATTCTTGTCACCACACCCATGACCACAGCCGAATCAGAAAGGTGCTTTTCTACTTTAAAGAGGATTAAGGCTTTCCTTGAGGAACACCATGACACAGGATGGGCTGAATGCTCTTGCCAGGCTCTCCATGGAAAAAAAGCTTGTCACAAACATTCCTGACTTCAATAAAAAGCTCATCGAGAGCTTTGCCACTCAGAAGGACAGAAGGGCAAAATTTCTGTACAAATGAGGTATCACACACACATAAATGCATCCATTTGATCTTTGTATAAAGTTGACCTTAGCACAACACTCCAGAAATATTTAACAGTGTAAATTTCTGGCATTTTGTCTAAGTGGTGTTTACTACCATTACTGTAACAGTGACCTGCTCGTAATTTTTGGTGTTCACTCAAATGTTGAAATTAAACAAAATGTTTTTGTTACTTGCCTCTTGCATTGCCTATTTACCATATATGGTCGTGTTATTTTATGTGCAATTTAATGCAGTATTTTTCAACCTTGGTCTGCAAGGCAGCGTGCCAATAGTCAGACACACCTGGATTAATCAGTTTGTCCAATGATGTAAGACAGGAAATAAAAGAGCTGTGCTTAATTCAGGAAATAGTGAAGTTGTGCACAAAGCTCAGAAAGCACAAGTTTGTTTAAAAAAAAAATAGCACAGCCCCACCAAAAATATTTTTCACCAGCCGCCACTGGGTGTGACCCTGCGAGGAAAGTTGACCATTGAGTAGAATTGATGGTTTATCCATTGAGGCCCATGTGGCAGGGGTGAGGAGTGAGCACCACGTCACCCCTGCCACGTGAACCTCAAGGGATAAACCATCAAATCTGCTCAATGGTCAACTTTCCTCGTGGGGTCACACCCATTAGGACAGTGGGAGGGTTAAGGAAAACCATAAAGGAAGTTTGAAGAGTGCTGGTATTTACTAGTCATTATGATTTGTGGCATTCACCTGAACAGCTGTTCAGACGCTAAAGAAACCCAAAGGTTCACACTTGTGCCTATATAAATAACCTAAAAGTCTACTTTACTTCTAAGAAAAGCAGCCTACCTTCCTCCGTAGGCTGCTGCTGTGTTGTAGGCAGCGGTGGGTCGTCCGTACATGACTGGCTGGCTGTAGCCTTTAGACATGGAGTCTCCGTACGACTGCTGGCCCATGAACTGGGAGCCCATGCCACCACCCATACCAGGGCTGCCACCAGGCATCATGTGACCACCGGAGCTCTCACCAGGGCCCATGGGTGCACCAAACACCTTTATGGAGGAGAAAAGGATGTTGTACTGTTAAAGACTGGTGGATGTTGATCTAAAAAGAATAGTTTATCACAAAAATTGTAGAGACAGAAAATTCACCCTTTGTAATCAGATTTAAAGGTCAAAGACAGCTAAATGTGTGCGTTTATTTTAACTTTCATCACCTTAGTTTCTACATATAATCTGATATTTGCTTTATCTTCTAAATAAAACGTTAACTCCTTTATTATCAGAAAATTCTGCACACTAATTACAAAGCCCCCACTACATCCCACATCAAACTGCAGTTAGTGTTTATCACCAGCAGCAGTCCAGATCAGCGCTAACAGAAACACAATACCTGCATGCAGATGTTAATTTTTAATGTGGTGCTGCAAATGTGGTAGCAAGGATGGATAGTTTTTCTCTCTGATGGAAGACAACAAAAAAACTAAATTTACTGACACAAGTTGAAAAGTTTGTTTCTGTAAGCCTGTAGTATGACATGATAAACTATAACTATATATATTTGATGATAATTTCTGTGAAAATATTACAAACCTATTATATGTTTTATAATTGATAGCTCACAGAACAACCCCAGTTAAAAAAAAAAAAGACATTATTTTTTACTACAGTTTTTTTTCCGGACTATAAGTCGCACTTTTTTCATAGTCTGGCTGGTCCTGCGACTTACACTCCGGAGCGACTTATATACCAAATTATGTATACCGCGCTGCTGTCGACCGGCTCTGGACCAGGAATAAGCTCCTCTGCCCCGCCATCACCTGCTGCATCCTGTGGCGAGCTGCTGCGGGCCGGCTCCGGCCCAGGAATGAGCTCTCCCCGCCCGCTGGGAGGGTTTGAAACAATGCCACCCTCTGCTGAGACCGTGGCGCGCTGCTGCGCCCTGATTGTGTATTCTGTTATTGTAACCGGTACTTGTCTTGCAATGTGAAATGCTTGTTCTCTGATTTTGTAAGAAAAATAATAAAATTTCCCCCCAAAATGCGACTTATAGTCCAATGTGACTTATATATGTTTTTTTCTTCTTCATTATACATTTTATGGCCGGTGCGACTTATACTTCGGAGCGAATATGGTAAATGAATAAGATAATAGCTAATCACAGCAGAGTCCAGACTAAAGTGGACTACTGACTTCTCAAGTGTGTGTGCATTTGTTCCATAACACTTAAAAGTAAAAATGAGCAAATCCAGTTTCTAGCTAGGATTTCCTGACGTTTCTGATGAAATATGAAACAGATGATGGTGTAAAGGGTTATAAAATGGTTTTCACATGAAAAACTATGATTTTTCTGAAACTGGAGTTATTTTAGACAGTGGCAGGACCAATCAGAACAGCTTGTGTCTCCAAACTGAGGCTGTTCAAAGCATTTTCTACATATAAGAAATTGATGGTTAATAGCTTTTCCACAGAAACCAACTATAAAACATCAGAGCTGTCTCTGTTTATTTACAGTTTCAGACTTAAACCTGAAAACATTTTTAATGTTTGATTAGCTAAATAAAAATGTTTATTGCTAAACTAATAGCTTCAGATGAAACAAGTAAGTAACACTGCTTAGATTTCTAATCATACACATTCTGAGCCTTGATTTATAATAGAAATAAATAAAAACATGTCATTTTAGGAGAAAACAGGAGGAGAACAAAGTCCCACGGTACTGATTTATGTGTTACCTGGCTGTGTGTGGGATTGGTCACGCCCCACACTGTGGTTACTACAGAGAGAGAACGTGCGTGCTGATTGGTGCCTGGTTGCCAGGAGACTGGCTCATTTAGGAAGGGGCTGTCAGTGCTGCAGAGGGATATGAAGCAGTGTTACTGGGATGTTCAGGGGAGGCAAAGAGAGAGCATTTATTTAGATATCAATAACTGCAAAATGTCAGAGTATCACAGGCTGTGTTTCACCACTTCCTTGTGAAAATAAAGTATTTAACACCTTTTTACGACTAATTTACTGCTCCAGCACAGAGTTGGCAGAGTTGAAGGCCGCAAATGCATCATTTTGTTTAGTGAGCTAACAATTAACCTGAGCATGGTTTATTCAACTGATGGTTGAGGTTACCCTCTGCTTCCTCCTTCTAAACCATTTTCTGACTGAGAGCAACCACAACCACTCAGCTGTCAGAACACATCACCAGCAGTCTTACTCAAGCTCTGTTTTTGCCCCCAACACATAATCTTTGGACATTTTAAAAGTTAATTGCAAAAATCCTTAGTGTGAATAACACGATGCGCATCTGCCTTTTACAAACTGGTAAATGTTTACATTTTGTCCCACACTAAATTGGAAACACATTTCTGGCTTTCATTGTCCACCAACATCTGGAGGCCAGAAAGCTCTGTGGCTTCATTAAAGCAAACACTGCTTTGGTTCAAATAAACCCATCAAATATGCTTTACAAAGGTGCAAGAAGAAAGTGCACTCAGTTAAGGAGTAATGTACGACTGCAAGTTATCCAGAAGACATTCTGACATTATTTTTTTGCATTTTATCACAAATAACTTTATTCTAAAGGAAGATATTAATTTAAAAAGCACAAAACTATTTTGTTAGCAGTTTTACAGAGCTCGGCTCTGTGATTCCCAAATACTATCCAGATGTTAGTGATATTTCTAGGGTTGTGCAATTTATTTAACTATATAAATAATTATAAAAGTTGACCGATTACATTTATTTTTTTCCCATCCCGTTCTGCAAGCATCCTCTTTGTTATGCCTTTGATGGCAAGCACCAAGTCCACTCCTTCAAGTGTTTTGTGTTGCCGTTTTTAAAAAAATCAGCAAAAGTAAAGATGGCAGAACAATGGCAAAACACAGTGGTGACATATATAAGCATTTAAAAAATACTCCATTATTTTTAATGGTGAACCCCACAGCCTCTGTGGATTTTTAGTTCTAAGTATCAAAACCCCTAACACCACCACCCCAAACACACACACACACACACACACACACACACACACACACACGAACACACACACACACACACACACACACACACACACACACACACACACACACACACACACACACACACACACACACACACACACACACACACACACACACACACACACACACCTTTTTACAAAGCACAGATTCGCTGTTTGGACATGCAGGTTTTTGTAGCAGCTGCCTTTATGTTTACTTCATATGATAAAGTAGAGGATTAAGTTAAATTACTGTCTGCATCTCACAATATTTTCTTTACTACAAGGCTCCCAATATAGATGGTTGAATAATTTATACTTTATTAATAGTTCTGTAATTCTTTATAAATCTTTAATAAGTGTTTATTTTTCATAAATTAAGGGTGAGAAAGAGACAACACTGACCGGTTTCTTTCCAAATATTGAGCCACCAAATGACAATTGTTTAATTAAACTTCATTCTTTGTCCACCACCTCCCTTACCCATGGTGTCCCACAAGGTTCTGTGCTGGGGCCTCTGCATCCTCTTCAGCACATCCTGAGCTCCTTCAAAGGAATCTCCTACCATCTTTATGCAGATGACATCCAACTGTACATCTTCTTTAAGCCCCATGAGATGTCTAAGCTGCAGCTGTTACACACCTGCTTAGACTCTATCAAAACCTGGATGGCTAGGAGCTTTCTTCAGCTGAATGAAGATAAGACTGAGATCCTCATCTGTGCCCCAGACAAGCTGGTTCCCAAAGTCAGAGACTCTCTTGGTCAGCTTGCTTCCCACACCAAACCTTCCGTCAGGAATCTTGGTGTGACCTTTGACCCAGCTCTCACCCTGGATCCTCATGTCAGTTCTCTTGTTCGCTCTTCCTTCTTCTATCTCAGGAACATTGCTAAGCTGAGTCCCATTCTGTCTCGCTCTGAACTTGAGACAGTCGTCCACACCTTCATCTCCTCACGCTTAGACTACTGTAACTCTCTTTTCACGTGTCTGAGCAAAACTCCCTGAACCGTCTACAGGTGGTTCAGAATGCCTGTGCTCGGCTTCTGACCAAGTCCTCCAAACACACCCACATCACCCCGCTTCTCCTCCAGCTTCACTGGCTGCCAGTCAACTTTGGGGTTCATTTCAAGATCCTGGTTCTGGTCTATAGGGCCTTACATGGACAAGCACCATCTTACATTGGTGATCTTCTTAGTACCTACACCCCCAGCAGGTCCCTGAGGTCCAGTGACCAAAGCCTACTGGTTGTGCAGCTCACCAGGCTTAAGACCAAAGATGACAGATCATTTGCTGCTGTGGCCCCCAGACTCTGGAACTCTCTCCTCCTGAGCCTGAGATCAGTAGACTCCTTTAAAAAGCAGCTGAAGACTCACTTGTTCAAAGTGGATTTTGTGTGACCTTCTTCACCACTCTCTCTTTATTCTGCTCTCCCCACCTATTCCACCTTCCTCAGGATCCACTGATTTCCCTCTTTCCTATTCACTCTCTCTCTTTCTTAACATTTTTTTAATCACAATTGTCTATTGTTTGCTCATTTTAAATATATTTTAACCATTTTCTAAATTCTTTTTTTATATTTTACGTTTTATGTTTTTGTGAAGCGCCTCGTGATTTCTATCTTGAGAGGCGCTATAAAAATATATTTTCTTCTTCTTCTTTTATATATTAATCAGTAAATTTTTAAAGAGGTTGACAAACGTTTTTGAAATAAAATTCCAGAAAAGGCTCCCCATTCATTGTAAATCCATTACACGTTTGACCCAGACCCACATGAAGTAAAATATCTATACAAATCCACCCATTATTTTGACTTTTCCCTGAAAAGCAAAACCCACAAACCAAACATGTCCTCATTGGCAGTTACAAGGAAACAGACCACACAAATTATCTAGATGAAGGGAATATTATCAGATAAACTTCAATGATAAATCTGCATTTCCTCCCAATCTAAAATAGTTTTTAATGAAATAAACAGGGTTTCAAACAGCGGCGTAACTTGGTAAAATGAAACCACTGATTTATTTTGATATAGTTATTAGCAAAGACTTGTGTTGTAGAAGTCTTTATTAGTTCCAGTTTTTACACATAAATGAGAAGACATACCCGAAGAGCGATTGCTGAATATATCAGTTATATATCCGTTCTCGTCTCTCTCGTCTCTCGTCTTCCTCCGCTTATCCGGGTCCGGGTTGCGGGGGCAGCATCCCAATTAGGGAGCTCCAGGCCGTCCTCTCCCCGGCCTTGTCCACCAGCTCCTCCGGCAGGACCCCAAGGCGTTCCCGGACCAGATTGGAGATGTAACCTCTCCAACGTGTCCTGGGTCGACCCGGGGGCCTTCTGCCGGCAGGACATGCCCGAAACACCTCCCCGGGGAGGCGTCCAGGAGGCATCCTGACCAGATGCCCAAACCACCTCAACTGGCTCCTTTCGATCCGGAGGAGCAGCGGTTCTACTCCGAGTCCCTCCCGAATGTCCGAGCTCCTCACCCTATCTCTAAGGCTGAGCCCGGCCACCCTACGGAGGAAACTCATTTCGGCCGCTTGTATCCGCGATCTCGTTCTTTCGGTCATTACCCAAAGCTCATGACCATAGGTGAGGATTGGGACGTAGATCGACCGGTAAATCGAGAGCCTGGCTTTCTGGCTCAGCTCCCTCTTCCCCACGACAGATCGGCTCAGCGTCCGCATCACTGCAGACGCCGAACCAATCCGCCTGTCGATCTCCCGATCCCTCCTACCCTCACTCGTGAACAAGACCCCGAGATACTTAAACTCCTCCACTTGAGGTAGGACCTCTCCCCCGACCCGGAGGTGGCAAGCCACCCTTTTCCGGTCGAGAACCATGGTCTCAGATTTGGAGGTGCTGATCCTCATCCCAGCCGCTTCACATTCGGCCGCGAACCTACCCAGCAAGAGCTGAAGGTCAGAGCTGGATGAAGCTAGGAGAACCACATCATCCGCAAAAAGCAGAGACGAGATTCTCCTGCCCCCAAACTCGACACACTCCACACCACGGCTGCGTCTAGAAATTCTGTCCATAAAAGTGATGAACAGAACCGGTGACAAAGGGCAGCCCTGGCGGAGTCCAACCCTCACTGGGAACAGGTCCGACTTACTACCGGCTATGCGGACCAAACTCACGCTCCTCTGGTAAAGGGACTGAATGGCCCTTAACAGAAAGCCACCCACCCCATACTCCTGGAGCGTCCCCCACAGGGTGCCCCTGGGGACACGGTCATAAGCCTTCTCCAAATCCACAAAGCACATGTGGATTGGTTGGGCAAACTCCCATGCCCCCTCCATCACCCTTGCAAGGGTATAGAGCTGGTCCACAGTTCCACGGCCAGGACGAAAACCACATTGCTCCTCCTCTATCTGAGATTCAACTATCGATCGGACCCTCCTCTCCAGTACCTTGGAGTAGACCTTTCCAGGGAGGCTGAGGAGTGTGATCCCCCTATAGTTGGAACACACCCTCAGGTCACCCTTCTTAAAGATGGGGACCACCACCCCGGTCTGCCACTCCCTAGGAACTGCCCCCGATGACCACGCAATGTTGTAGAGACGTGTCAACCATGACGGCCCTACAACATCCATAGCCTTGAGATACCCAGGACGAACCTCATCCGCCCCCGGGGCTCCGCCGCTGTGTAGTTGTTTGACTACCTCAGCAACTTCTGCCCCCGAGATCGGACAGTCCATCCCCAGGCCTCCCAGCTCTGGTTCCTCCTCGGAATGCGCATTGGTGGGATTTAGGAGCTCCTCAAAGTATTCCTTCCACCGTCCGACTATAGCCTCAGTCGACGTCAGCAGCTCCCCATCCCCACTGTAAACAGTGTGAGCGAGTTGCTGCCTTCCTCTCCTG